AAAGGGGGCGCTGCAGGCACTTTGCCCCCAAGAGAGCCGGGGGGGGGGGAAGGATTACGCTAGCTTTTCCCATGTGTGTGTGTCTGGGGGGGGGGGTGTCGAGCTGGTGCCCTGCTGTGGTAAACATAACTTAAAATGCCAGCCAGGATTGAGGTTAACCAAGGACGAATATTTATAATCGAACTTGGATGGTGGGTTTTGAGGATTGGAATGGTGTTGTGATTTTGGAAAGGGCTTGAACGGGTGTGAGATGTAAGGCCAGACATTGAGGCTGCGTTTTTGTTTTATTTGTGTATCTTACTGGGCTGAAAAAGTTGGCGTCTCTCATTTTTTTTCTCTGTCTTCGTTTCCTTCCTTCCTTCTCCTTCCTTCCTTCCTTCCTTCTTTCCTTCCTTTTCCCCTCCCTTTCCTTCCCTTCGCCTCCTTTCCTTTCCTTTTTTCTTTTCCGTTCCATTCCTTCCTTTCTCCTCCTTTCCTTTCCTTTCCTTTCCCTTCCTTTCCATCCCTTCCCTTCCCTTCCTTCCTTCCTTCTCAAGCTTTCTAAGAAAAAAAAAAAGGGAAACAAAACGAAAACTTATCAAGCAAGGTGGCTTCCTCTCTGTCTATTTTTCTTCCTTGCAGTCGATGGGCCTCCCATGTCCCGTTCCAGGCACCTCCACGTCCCCCCAAAACATCCAACCAAGATTGGGTTTGATGAGGTGAGGGAAAGAACGCCAAGCGGATGTGCCTGCACTGGGCAACACGTGTGTGTGTGTGTGTGTGTGTTTGTGTGTTGGACTAGATGCCCTCTAAAGACCCTTCCCAATCTTAACGCCTCATCGCCCCCCCTTTTCTCACAGGTGTTTCTTATCAACCTGGCCCGACGTCCGGACCGGCGGCAGCGCATGCTGGAGGCCCTTTACGAGCTGGAAATAGACCCCTTGCTGGTTGACGCCATAGACGGAAGGTGGCTGATGGGTTACGTGGTCTTTTCCAACCTGGAAGGGCTGCCTTGTCCAAGAGAGCCCACTTTAGGGTGGTGGCCAAGAGGCAGATCACAAGGCCCAGCTTTTGCTGAAGGCTTTTGTCTGTGACCAAGCCTCCAGCTTCAGGAGCAGTCTACCCCTTAAGTGTTGCTTGGGACGCAAGTGCCTTCCCAAAGTCTCCCGATCTCGCAAAAGGCACAGTTGGGCTCCGTCTGGATCGCTTTCCCCACGTTCTCGCAGCAGTACTTTGATTTTTCTCTCTATGCCACCAGAGCCCTGAACAGCAGCAGCATCAAGAAACTTGGCATCGACTTACTGCCTGGATATTACGATCCCTTTTCGGGAAGGACCCTCACCAAAGGGGAAGTTGGCTGTTTCCTCAGTCACCACCACGTCTGGAAAGAGGTCAGATCCAGGTTTAAATCTGGTTTGTCTTTCCTTTTCCAAACCAGGCGCCGTCCTTGCTCTTTGAGGCCGTCCTGGCGACTGGGATGAACAAAATCAGAACTAAACGTGACTTAGTTTCAGAGTATGTTTAATTTGAGGAGGGGGGAAAAAGGCTACTAGTAAGATTATTCCTGGTCTATTATTCCTGTGCGTGTCGTTCAGGTGGTTGAGAGAGGACTGGAAAAATCACTTGTACTGGAAGATGACATCCGATTCGAGGCTTACTTCAAGAGGCGCCTGGCAAAGCTGATGGACGCGTTGGAACGGACGCAATTCGATTGGGAGCTGATGTACGTCACGTGGTTTATGCGATTTGCCCTCTGTCAGAAATGGTGTAAGGCAGTGGTTCTCAACCTGTGGGTTGGGACCCCATTTGGGGTCGAACGACCATTTCACGGGGGTCGCCAAACAACGCAGTCCGCCATTTTTCCCCCCTTTTCCTTAGCTGTGCTACTCCCTTTTATTCGATTGGCTTTTGAAAGCCAATAGAATAGACTCTCTTCAATAGAGTCTAATTCTCTTGGCTTTCCAAAGCCAATAGGAATTGTCCAGGCTGTCTCTGCCCTGCTGAGCCCGCCAAAAGTCCCATTCTGCAAACGGTGCTGCACCAGTGGAGTCGTCCTCGACTTACGACCGGTTGAGTAGCCCTCGACTTACGGCCGGTTGGGGGGTCGCGGCATTAAAAAGGTTGAGAACCACTGGTGTTAGGTCTCCTGCTTGGGCGGGGGGTTGGACTAGATGACCTCCAGGGTCCCTTCCAACTCTGTTGTTCTGTTCTTCTCTCTTTTCAGCTACTTGGGCAGGAAACAAGTCAACTCCGACGAGGAGGAGGAGGCGGTGGTGGAGATCCCCAATCTGGTGGTGCCCGAATATTCCTACTGGACGTTGGCCTATGTCCTCTCCCGACGGGGGGCTCAGAAGCTGGTCCAGGCGCGGCCCCTCTCTAAAATCCTGCCCGTGGATGAATTCCTGCCCATTATGTACGACAAACACCCCAAGTAAGGATTTGCCTTCCTCCTTGCTCGCAATGGGAGAAAAGAGAGAGAGAGAGAGAGAGGGAAAAAAGAGAGAGAGAGAAGGGGAGATGCATTTTTACTGCCTGCACAGTCCTGAGTCATCTGGAGGGCAGATGTTGAGCCTTGCAAAATCCCACCGGCTCTCCTTAGCTAGCCTCATTTCTGAGGGCTGAGCTCATTTGCAAATCCTTCAGGTTTTGGCTCCGGCTACTTCTTCGGCTGGCCAGGTTTCTGCCCTTTTTCTCTTCTGTGCTTCGAGCTTGTGCGGAAGACGCGATGGGGGAAGAAGGGCGCAAACTCACCCGAGCCGGGCTTCCTTCGAGAGGCAGAAGCTGGCGCCCGGATTTATAGTTTTGGCCCATTGGATTTCTGGCAGAGAATTTTGAATTTTGCTCCATTTTTCGTCCTTTTCGTCCAACTGAATTGCTGCAGTTGGTAAGCCAGTCACCCGGTTGTTAAGTGAGTCTGCCTTCCCCCCCTTGACTTTGGGGATCACGTGACTCCCCCGGGACGCTACGACCGTCGTATCTCGGAGTCAGTTGCCAAGCGTGCGAATTTGGATACGGAATGTTTGTCACCGTGAAAAGCAGTCACAAGACATGTTTTTCAGTGCCGTTGTAACTTTTTTTTTATTGAAAAAGTTTATTAACAATTAACACATTTTTTTAACCCCCAAACCCATCCACCCCCACCCCCCTACCCCTCCCACTTCCCAGAGCCGAGTACAGGGTTATTACAAACATATTAAACAAAATCTAATTAACTTTAACAAATTATACAGTAACCAAATTCATACATAACTCTTAACTCCCTTTAAACTTTAACATCATAATATTATAAACAAATCCATTTTAAAACAATTATTATAAAGTACCATAATAACAATAAATAAACTAAATAATTTCCATTATAAAATACTATTAATAATTATTATTTAAAATTTAAGCATAAAATAAATGGAACTTTTTAGTTCCATATTTAATCTGAATATAATCTATCCATCTTCTCCATACCATAATATATCTTTCTTGTGTGTGATCCTTTAAATAAGCAGAAATTTTTGCCATTTCTGCTAGATTAGAAACCTTAAGTGTCCATTCTTCTATAGTAGGCAACGAATCTTTCTTCCAATATTAACCTACCAATAACCTTGCTGCTGTTACTAAATTCAAATTAAAATGGTTTCTTTAACAACAAAATCCACAAAAATCCCCAGTAAAAATAGTTGAGGAGTAAACTTTATCGTCCTTTTGGTGCCGTTGTAACTTTGAACGGTCACTAAAGGAACTGTTGTCAACCAAGGATGGCCTGTAGGTAGCGCAGCTCAGAGCGATGGGCGTGGGAGTCCGCCACAACACCAGGAGCGTCTCAGGTTGAGAAAAGCCGGTGAGGAAGACTTTAGAAAGCGTGAGATGGCGGTAGAAACCGAATCCATAAAAACAAAGCAGCGGAACAGAAATGGAGACGTACAGAATAAAAAGATTTTTTTTTTTAAAAAAAAAATGCTATTGCAGCCAAAGAAAGCCCACAGTTTATATCTCTGTATCTCCACCCCAAAAATCTGAAATGACGGTTTTCCAATTTGTAAGAAGTGACCTCGCCAACAAACGAGACTCCTTGCTGCTCGAGCGAGTAACATTTGAGTAGAGAAAACTTGTGAGTTTCCAGCTTGTAAGGCTCCCAGCCAAGCCATTTGGCTTCCCTTCCAGACTGCATGCAAAAGCAATTTATGTGCAGCACAAGCGTATATTTTGAGGGTTTTTTTTTCATCCAAGCTGGGCTGGTGCTTACTACTCAGTCTTCATCTGCTTCTTGTTTGGTTCTGTCTCTGCTAAACCTCAACCGTGTCTTTCCCCAAAAAAGCAGAACGTGTGGAACGGAGCAAGGGGGAATCGCTAAAAATCAGGTTGGCCTTGGGCCCAGTCCATAACTTTGCGTGACTGTGTCACTAACTGAACAACTGAGATGCTTCGTTTAACAACCTTGGTGAGACAGGACGAAAAACGGGGCAAAACTGACTTAACGAAGTGTCTCGTTCAGCGATGTAAATTTGGGGCTCCGTTGTGGTCATGCGCCAAGGGCCCCTCCCCCTGCACCGGGGAGAAAGGAAACACTCTGCACATGCTTTGAGGGATACAGCGTCGCTCTTACGTTCGAAGGTCTTGCTGGCACCAAATTATGCTCCACTTCTTTTTTTTTTTTTTTTACATAGGCCATCCTCGGCTTACCGACTGCAGCTGAGCCCCCAATTTTCTGTCGCTAAGTGAGACGTTTGGAGAGAGCTTTGCCCCGTTTTATGACTTTTCTTGCCACTGTCGCTAAGTGAGTCGCTGCAGTGGTCAAGTCAGTCACACGGTCGTTAAGCGGAGCTGGCGTCTCCCGTTGACTTTGTTTGTCGGATGGTCACAAAAGGGGGAAGCACGTGATCACACGCAACCGTCGGTTGCCCAGCCTCTGAATTTTGATCACGTGACTGTGGGGGAGGCTGCAACAACGGTCGTGAAGTGTGAAAAACGGTCCCGAGTCCTCTTTTTTTCAGTGCCATTGTAACTTTGGACGGTCACTAAATGAACTGTCGTAAGCCAAGGACTTACCTGTGTTTTTACAGCAAAGGCCGGGCGTAATTCCCCTCCTTTCCTGTCTCCCGCAGCGAGGATTACAAGAAATATTTCCGCAGCCGGGACCTGCGGGCCTTTTCTGTCCGGCCCTACCTGGCTTACCCTGCCCATTACGCCGGGGACGCCGCGTGGATGAGCGACACGGAGTTTTCCACCATCTGGGATGACGATTCGCGGGAAACCGCCTGGAGCGGCTCGCAGAAGACCCTGAAGGACGCCCGCGGCATCAGCCACGGAGGCCCCGTCAGCCACTCCCTCCCCACAGCAGCCCGGGACGAGCTGTAATTGGCTGGCTGGTGAGGAGAGGAGAGGGGGAGAGGGAGAGGAAAGAAAAAGAAAGAAAGAAAAATGGGAGGGAGGGAGGGAGGGGGAGGGAGGAGAGGAGGGAGAGGAAAGAAAGAAAGAGAAAAGAGAAAGAAAGAAAAAGAAAAAGAAGGAGGAGAGGAAGGGAGAAGAGAACAGAAAAACGAAAGGAAAGGAAATAAATGGATGGAGGAGAGGAGGGGAGAGAGAAAGAAAGAAAAAAAGGAAAGAAAGAAAGAAAAAAGGGAGGGAGGAGAAGGGAGAGGAGAAGAGAACAAAAAAAGAGGATGAAAGAGGAGGGGAGAGAAAGAAAGAAAGAAAAAGAAAGAAAGAAAGAAAGAAAGTTTTAAAAATCTGCCTTTTTAAAAATGCCAACCAAATGAAATATTTGGTCAAGGACTGTGTCCATCTCTCCCACTTTTCCATCAAGGTTCAGGTTTTTCTTTTATACACACACATTTTAAAGAAAGAAAGAAAGAAAGAAAGAAAGAAAGAAAGAAAGAAAGAAAGAAAGAAAGAAAAAGAGGAGAGGGGAAGGGAAGGGAAGGGAAGGGAGAAGAGAACAGAAAAACGAAAGGAAAGGAAGTAAATGGATGGAGGAGAGGAGGGGAGAGAGAAAGAAAGAGAAGGAAGGAAGGAAAGAAGACAGAAAGAAAGAAAGAAAGAAAGAAAGAAAGAAAGAAAGAAAGAAAAAGGAAGGGAGGGAGATGGGAGAGGAGAAGAGAACAGAAAAAGGAAAGGAAAGGATGAAAGAGGAGGGGAGAGAAAGAAAGAAAAAGAAAGAAAGAGAGAAAGAAAGAGGGAGGGAGGAAGGAGAGGAGAAGGAGAGGACTGAAAAAGGAAAGGAAAAGGAAGGAAAGTGATGAAGGAGAGGAGAGCTGTCAGTTTTGGCTTGGGGGGGAGGCCTGGGGGGGGGGCTTTGCCTTGACGGGTGTTGTCTCTCCAGGGCCATTTGGGACTCATCCCTGCTTTTTCTCTTCCAGGTTCTCTTATCGCGGGAGAGAAAAGGCAGATTTGGGGACGGAAGCTCCCTTTTTTGTCCCCAGGAGACACGGGGAGGGGGGGGAATGAATGGTGGGCTGGGCAAGGACCGGAGGAGGCCGGTTTGGGCTCGCCCGTCTGCTGGAGAGGAGGCCTCGGTGGGCAAGGACGAGGGTCTCCATCGGGTGGGCCAGCCTGGCTGAACGTTTGTGGATGCAATAAAGATTTTTGCACAGAAAAATGGGAGAGCCACCTGCTGGATCCTTCCCTTTCGCCCTTCCTTCCTTCCTTCCTTCCTTCCTTCCTTCCTTCCTTCCTTCCTTCCTTCCTTCCTTCCTTCCTTCCTTCCTTCCTTCCTTCCTTCCTTTTTCTTTCTTTCCTTCCTTCCTTTCTTCCTTCCTTTCTTTCTTTCTTTCTTTCCTTCCTTCCTTTTTCTTTCTTTCCTTCCTTCCTTCCTTCCTTTCTTCCTTTCTTTCTTTCTTTCCTTCCTTTTTCTTTCTTTCTTTCCTTCCTTCTTTCCTTCCTTCCTTCCTCTTTCTTTCTTTCTTTCTTTCTTTTTTCTTTCTTTCTTTCTTTCTTTTTTTCTTTCCTTCCTTCCTTCCTTCCTTTTCCTTTCCCCTTCCCTTCTCTTTTTCCTCTTTCCTCCCTGTTCTTCAACTTTTCCACCCTCCCTTCCCCTCCCTCCCTTTTCCTCTTTTCCTAACTCTTCCCTTCCCTCCCTTCCCCCTTCCTCGCCTATCCTTTCCTTTCTCCTCCCTTCCGTTTTCTTTTTTCTTCCTCCCTCTCTCCCTCCCTCCCTTCTCCATTTTCCTCTCCCCTTCTTCCCTCCCTTCCTTTCCTCCAACTTTTCCACCCTTCCTTCCCCTCCCTCTCTTGCTTCCCCCCCCCCCCCGTTTCTCTTTTTCCTTCCTTCCTCTCCCTTCCATCTTCCTTTCCTTCCCTCCCTCCTTCCTCTCTCCAAGATCCCCCAATGCAGGCCCCTCTGGCTTTCTGTAGTCCGGCCTTGGCGGAAGGCACTTAAAAGGCTGGGCTAGGAGTGGAATCCTGGAGCTGCTTTCAATGCTCCGGACCGAGATTTGATTCCGGAGTGGATGCCTGGCTCTTGTTAGATTCCGGAGCTGTGTTGCTATGTACATCCCTTTCGCCTAGCAACCGGGCAGGCATTCTGCCTTTTTAAAGAGCCCCTGTTCCAGTTCCTTTTTTTTTTTTTTTGGTGGTTCCCCTCCCCTCTCCGGAAGGGCAGCGCTCTTAATTGGAAGGTCAGCCATGGCACCCAAAAAGAGGGGGCGCAAAAAAGAGGAGGCCCCCAAAGAACAAGAGGTGGACGACAGTATTGTGCCGGAGCACAGCCGAGAATTTTATCTGATCCAGATACGAGATTTGGAGGGGCGCCTGGCCCGGTGAGTTTGTGGGGTGACGGGGGGGGGGCAAGCTGGAAGGAAGGGAACCCCAACTGGTTTTTTAAAAAAAATTTATTTCGGATCCGGGCTTTGCTTCGCTCCCGAGTCGCTCTCTTTCCCGAGTCGCTGCCGAAACACAGGACTGTGTCCATCGGAAGAAGATCAAAAGCACCGAGCATCGGATTTTTATAGCTTGTTCATCCCATCTTGGGTACGACAAGTGAGAGCTTGGCAACGTTTGGCAAATACACCCCACTGCATTTTGGGGTTCCTCCCTTCGTCCTGGTTTCTGGCTGAGGAGTTCTTCACGGACGGGTTAAAATTCTTGAGTTTGGTATCCATTTGTTGAAAAAAAAAAACCCTCTATATTCTTATGCAAAAATCACAGATTTTAAGGTGCGTCAGGGGCTGCTGGAGGAATCAGACGGTCGCGGGTTTCCTTTTTAAGTTGCAATTCCACAAAACTCCCTAAATCTACTGGATTTTGACTCCCAGAATTCTCAGTGATGCCCACGGGGGCTGGGAATTCTGGGAACGGAGGTCTGCGCCTCTGGAAGGAAAGATCTCTGGTAGGGGGGAGATTGTGGTGGGTCTCAGTGTTGTAACAGTCCTCGGCTTACAAACTTTTGTTTAAGCAACCATTTGAAGTCACAACGGCACCGGAATTAAAAAAAATGACGCATCGCCGTTTTTCATACGGGAACTCCTCGGCATGCGACCACAATGAAGCCCGAACTTTCTGTTACTAAGCAAGACAGTTTTGCCCTGTCTTACGACATTTCTTGCCCTAGCTGTCCCCTGCGGCTGTTAACTGAGTCACACGGTCGCTTCCCCAGTGACTTTGCTTGTTGCAAAAGGGGACCACGAGACTTCAAGACACTGCAACCGTCATAAATGTGAGTCAATTGCCAAGGGCTCGAACTTTTTTTGGGGGGGGGGATGTTGCAATGTGCGTTGTAAGTGTGACAAACAGACACAAGTCACCTTTTCCAGGGCTGTCCTAACTTGAAAACAGTCACTAAGTGAACTGCGGGAAGGACTAGCTGTCCTTATCGCCGTTGCAGCGCCCCCGTGATCAAAATTGGGCTGCTTTGGTGACTGACTCACAGTTATGATGGCCGCCGTGCCCCAGGGTGTGTGTGTGTGTGTGTCACGCAATCCCTTTTGTGACCTCTGACAACCAAAATCACTGGGGAAGCCAGATTGACTTAACCAACGGGGCAAGAAAAGTTGTAACAAACGGGGCAAAACTACTACTTGCCTCACTTAGTGGCCTAAATCTGGGGCTCCCCTGAGGTCGTAAGCCGAGGACTCCTTGTAGATTGATCTGGGGGGGCGCTGTCGCTTTGCTAGATACCAGCAGAAATGGGACCAGCTGCAGGTAAGCGAAGAACTCTTTCGGTGCGAATATGAGAAGATGTTGACGGACAACAAGGAGATCGTCGCCTTCCTGAAGAAGACCCTCAACCAGCGGGTGGACGAGATCGCCGACTTGACCCTCCAGCTGCAGAACCTCCAGCAGGCCAAAGACCTGGAGAAGGACGCCTTCGAGACCCAGCTGGTCCAACTGAGGCACGAATTCCAAGAAACCAAGGACCAGTTGACCTCGGAGAACATGCTGCTGAGTAAGCCCCATCGCGTCCGGTCCAATTCTTAAAATAATCATAATAATAATGGCACTGGAGAGAAATGTAAAATGAAGTGTCTGGATATAGGATAGGATATAGCATAGGATGGGATATAGGGTACAGAATAGGATAGGATATAGGAAGGATAAGCTAAGCTAAGAGGAGCTAAGATAAGATAAACTTTATTGTCATTTTCTACTGTGGGCCCACTGGCACACATTAAAAATGAAATTCCATTGCCTGCTCTCAAAGGTGTACACATACATCACACACATACAGAAATGCTATATACATACATATGTCTATGGTTACACCCTTACATATAATCCCATATAAATATTAATCACTGTCCATCTTGAATACAAATCAGAAAGAGGAAGCTTGAGAATTCAGAAGACTGGGACTGAATCTGGATGTTCGGATAAAATAGGTTTTATCAAAGTCCTCACTAGCTTATCTTGCTCTGCATCCACACTTTTGAGCAATGCGTGTCTCTCTGTGTGTGTGTGTCTCTGTGTGTGTGTGTGTGTGTGTGTGTGTGTGTGTGTGTGTATTTGGCATCTGAGACGAATCCGTGGAGGAAATGGTGGTTTCTCCCTCTGGCGTAGGTGGGAAGCTGGCCGCGCTGGAGGAATTTCGGCTGCAGAAAGACGAGATTTTGGCGAAATTTGCCGAGCGGGAAAACCAGCTGAGGAAGGAAGAGGAGCAGCACAAGGACGTCATCTACAACCTCGAACGGAAGGCCGTCATCGACAAAGAGAGGTCAGCAGCTCGTTCTAAACCGACAATTTTTCACAAAATGGGTGGTTGTGGTTTTTGCCTGCTGAATTAGTTGCTTCCTTGTGATTTCGATGACCCTACTTACCTCTATAGTTAAGGCACCAGACTGGGACTTCTAGTCCCGCCTTAGCCATGAAAGCCAGCTGGGTGACTTTGGGCCAATCGCCAGGTAGTGGTGAATTCTAGTCCTGCCTTGGCCACGAAAGCCAGCTGGGTGCCTTGGAGCCAGTCCCTCCTTCTCGACCAGCCCACCTCGCAGGGTTGTTGCTGTGGGGAAAATCGGAGGAAGGCGCCTGGTTTGTCGGCTTATTTATTAACCACCCCTCCCCAGAATGAAGAAGGACATGCTCCACCGGGTGAACGCCGTGGCCGCCGAGTTCCGCAAAGTGGCCAACAACCAGATGGCGGAGACCACCAAGCGCACCATCCGGGAGAACGTGGCCATCAGCCTGCAGCTGACCAAGGTGACGGAGCAGAGCCTGCAGCTGATCCAGGAGAACGACCGCCTGAAGGCGGCCCACGCTGAGGCCGCCAAGCAGCTCCAGCTGCTGGAGCAGAACGAGAAGAAGATGGTCAAGAACAGCCTCGGCCACCAGAAGGCAGGTGCCTTGATCTCCCGGGGTCGGCAACGGCGGCCCCCTGGGCCAAGCGGCCCGGCTCGTTGGCCCCGAGTTTGCCTCTCTGGCGTCCGCGTCACGACCGGTCGCTTAACGAGGGTTTGAAGCCACAAACAGACCTACCGTTGTATTAAAGGGAGTCCTCGGCTTACGACCAGTCGCTAAACAAGTGTTTGAATTTACAAGAGACTTTCCGTTGTATTAAAGCTAATCCTTGGCTTACGACTGGTCACTAAACGAGTGTTTGACGCTCCAACGGACCTACTAACTTTGTATTAAAGTTAGTCCTCGACTTAACAACCGGTCGCTAAACGAGTGTCCGAAGCTACCAACAGAGCTATAAACGCAAGCGGGTCATGTTACCGACCCATTTTACGACCGCGATGCCTTAGCGATTGGGACGGGCAGGCTCCGTGTCCGTCGTAATTCGAGGACTAGCGCTGATGCGCCCGATCGGGCTCTCCTTTTCCCAGAGAAGCTGACCCTGAGCCACGGCGGGCGTTTCCCCCTCTGAGCCTGCTCGTATCGGCCGGACGGCGGAAACTCCAACAGGTTCCTATTTTTAACGCCCTCCCTCCGGTGTAGATGATCTGGATGCTGACGGAGAAGTGCAAGGAGCTGCAGAGTGAGCTGGAGGAGCAGCGGAAGACCAAAGCCCACCTGGCCAAGGTGCAGAAGTCCAGCGAGATGCTCCTCCAGCAGAACCTGGTCCTCCGGTAAATCTCCCCGCCTTCCCCGCTCGCTCCGGATCGCGACCGGAGCTGCGGGATTCGTATCGTGTCCCTCATGACGGCGCCCCTTTCTCCGCCTGCGGTCTGAAGGGTGGAGAGGCTGGTGGCTTCTGGAGCTGGCCATCTCCTGTCTCAGGATAGGCTGAGCAGGAGAGGAAAAGAAGATGGGGAGGGAAGAGGAAAACGGAAAATCTTTCTTTCTTTCTTTCTTTCTTCCTTTCTTTTTCTTTCTTTCTTCTGCCACTTTCTTCCTCCCTTCCCCATGCCTCCCTCCTTTTCCTTCCTTCCTTCCTCCCTCCCTCTTTCTTTCTTTCTTTCTTTTTCTTTCTTTCTTTCTTTTTCTTCCCTTCCTTCCCTCCCTCCCTCCCTTTTTCTTTTTCTTTTCTTTTTCTTTTTCTTTTCCCCTTCCCCCTCTTCTTCTTTTCCTATCTTTCCTTTCTTCCCTCTCCCTCCCTCTCCTTCCTTTTTCTTCCTCCCTCCCTCTTTCTTTCTTTCTTTCTTTCTTTCTTTCTTTCTTTCTTTCTTTCTTTTTCTTCCCTTCCTTTCCTCCCTCCCTTTTTCTTTCTTTCTTTTTCTTTTTCCCTTCCCCCTCTTCCTCTTTTCCTATCTTTCCTTTCTCCCCTCTCCCTCCCTCCTTCCTTTCTTTTTCTTCCTCCCTCCCTCCCTCCCTCCCTCTTTCTTTTTCTCTTTTCCTATCTTCTCTCCTTCCTTCTTTCCCTCCCTCCTGTCTCCCTCCCTCTCTTCCCCTCCCTTCCTCCTTTTGCTTCCTTCCTTTCTCCCTCCCTTTCTTTTTCTTCCTCCCCTTTCCTTCCTCCTTCCTCCCTTCTTTTTCTCTTTTCCTATCTTCTCTCCTCCCTCCCTCCTCTCTCCTTCTCTTCCCCTCCCTCCCTCCCTCCTTCCCCTTCCCTCCCTCCCTTCCCCAGGGAAGAGCTGAGCATGCTGAAAGAAGACCTGGACCAAAAGCTGGCCAAGGATCACGATCAGCTGAAGCTACTGCAGAGCGAGCAGCAGCGCCGGGTCCATGCCGAGAATCTGCTAAAGCACACGGCCCAAGGGCTGAAGGAAGCGCTGGTGGTGAGCCTTTCACTGGGGGGGGGAGCTGGACCCCAGGGAGGGAATGCTGGGGGCAGCACCCCTCCAGGCACCGACGAGACCCCAATTGTAGCCGGAGTTCGAATCCAGCCAGGGGTTACGCTGTGCCAGAGGGAGTTTATTTCACTCGTTGTCAGACCGGTGGGCTCCACGTGGTCGTCTCTTGATCCCGAGGAGGCCCACCAAGTATCCCTCCTTCCCATTTTAATCCCATTTTACAGCCCTGCCAGGTAGGCTGGGCTGAATCCGGCTGGCCCAAAGCCGGGAGTTTAGGCGGCGAGGGAGGGGGGGGACACACGAAGACATTCTCACAACCAGTTTGGAGAGAGACATTTACCATCTCCCCCTTCTCATAAGAGCCCCCTTAACCCTCTGGAGAGGTCTACTTGGTGTCGCTTAAAAACGAGAACGTTTGGAAAGCAGGTTGTAGCAGGGGAAAGTGCTTTTAACAACCCAAGTTGCATTGCGAGTGTGTGTGTGTGCAGATCGGAGAAAAAAAAACCCGGGCGTCACACCAACCATGTTAGTTTCCTTTGCCAATCGGAGCTGTTTTTCTTCCTCTAATTCTTTTTTAATAGAAATGATGCTGTTTCTATTAAACGGTTAGATGGCCCTGACGTTAGTATTTGGACATTTATATTTTATTGTTTTTTGCTATTCCTGGGTGAAATATTAGGATATACAGAATAGAATAGAATAGAATAGAATAGAATAGAATAGAATAGAATGGAATGGAATGGAATGGAATGGAATGGAATGGAGTGGAGTGGAGTGGAGTGGAGTGGAGTGGAGTAGTAGAATAGAAATTAGAATGGAACAGAATATATATGAATAGAATAGAATAGAATAGAATAGAATAGAATAGAATAGAATAGAATAGAAATTAGACTAGAATAGCATAGAATAGAAAAGAATAGAATAGAAATTAGATTAGAATAGAATAGGGTAGAGTAGATTAAAATACAGTAGAGCAGAATAGAATAGAAATTAGAATAGGAATTAGAATAGAATAGAATAGAAAATAGAATAGAAAAGAATAGAATATATATTAATAGAATAGAATAGAAATTAGAATAGAATATATTTGAATAGAATAGAATAGAATATGAAATGGATAGAACAGAATAGAGTAGAGTAGAGTAGAATAGAATAGAATAGCAGAGCTGGAAGGAACCTTGGAGGTCATCTAGTCCAGCCCCCTGCTCAAGCAGGAGACCGTAGGGCCTATAGAATTTGAGACAAGTGGCTGTCCAATCTCCTCGCTCTCTCCAGCAATGGAGCACCCACAACTTCTGGTGGCAGGCTGTTCCACCGGTTAATTGTCCTCACCGCTAGGAAGTTTCTCCTTAATTCCAGGGTGCTTCCCTCCTTGATCCCTTTCCTCTCTGCTCAGGAACGGCCGTTGCCGGAGGAGGAAGACAGGGACTTTGACGTGATGTTCCAGTTGCGGCGCAGAAACGCCTTGCAGGGCATCCTCCATTTTGTGCAAAGGGGCGTCGCCCGCCTGGACGCTCAGCAGGGCCTCCAACCCATCACGATCGAGAGCAAGGTGGTCAAAGTCACCAACCTGTCCAGAAGGTGCGAGAGCCGCAAAAGAGACAGTGGGGTCCCCAAGGCTGGGGGGGGGGTTTGTGGGGACCCACGCGACCCGACACAACCGGGAAGCGTTGGCCGTGCACTTGCTTTGGGGCAAACGGAACTGAGGTGCCTGGATAACGGCTGGGATTACAGGCCGTTCTGCTGATTTACGACCGCGTTTGTGCCCAGCTGTTGCTAAGCAAGACCTCTGTTCAGGAGTTCGGCCCCGTTTTACGACCTTGCCTGCCACCGTTAAGTTGTTAAAGGGGCGACATGGCGATTAAGCTACTTTTGCTTCCCCGTTTGACTTCGCCGGTTGCCAAAGTGGGGATTGCACGACCCCCCCTGGGACTCTGCAACCGTCGTAACTACAAATCAGTTGCCATGTGTCTGAATTTTGATCACATGACCCTGGGGAGGGTGCCATGCTTGTGTGAACAATGCCCCCAAGTCCCTTTTTTTGGTGCTGTTGTAAGTTGTGACGGTCACTAAATGAAGTGTTGTTAAGTCAAGGGTTAGGTGTACTTTCTGTCCGCAGCGGGGAAAGGGGAAAACGCACCCTGGAGAACGGGTCCCGGGAAACGGAGGCTCGCGATCCGAGCGAAAGGGCTGTCGAAGGGGGGATAGTGGGGAGGGTGTCTGCAGCCTGGCTCCTGCTGGCTGAGACCCACACACAGAGGCAAACACACACAGGCGCAAGCACACCCATACCCTCCCCTGTCAGGGGTTGATCCGGCGCTTCTCTCCGCAGCTTCTCCACCGAGTGGCACACCAAGGCCTCGCGCACCACCTCCCACTGCAACATATTCCAGCTGCCCAAGCCGGTACACAGCCTGCCTTCCCTGGAGTCCGTCTCCTCCACCCAGCTGGTCTCCATCCGGCCCTACAGCAGCGCCAATGAGGTGGGTGGGCAGTGGGGCTGGGGAGGGCCTTGGGGGGCAGAGAAGAAGGGAAGTGGGGGGTGAGGAAGGCTTGCTGCCCTGTGGTTTGCTTCCGTTGCTTTTGGTCCTCGCTGAAACGGAGTTTCTAGTCCTCATGACAGCGAGGGCTTCTAGTCTTCGTGAAATAGGGAGTCCAGTCCTCCCAAAACGGAGGGTTTTTTAAACTTCGTGAAATAGGGATTCCGGTCCTCGTGAAACAGAGGGTTTTTAGACATTCTAGCCCTCATGAAACAGAGGGCGTCTAGTCCTCATGAAACAGAGGGTTTCTCTTCCTTACGAAAGAGGGCTTTTAGTCTTCATGAAATAGGATTCTACCTAGTCCTCTTGAAACGGAGGGTTCCTAGTCCTTATGAAACAGGGCGTCTAGTCCTCATGAAACAGAGGGTCTAGACCTCATGAAATAGAATTTACTCATGAAATAGGATTCTAGTCTTCCTGAAACAGGATTTCTAAGACAATAGGGCTGGTAGTCCTCATGAAAACAGCACCCCCCACACCTTAAATTCCTCCCCCCCTCCACTTTCTCCCTCCGCAGTCTATCTCATCATGGAGAGCCGAGAATAACAGCCAAGGCAGCCCGCCGGCCAGGAGCGCTGTCCACGTGCCAGCGGAAGGCGGGCAGGGATCGGAGGAGGTGGCGATCCGCGAAGACTTGCCGGAAATAGTGTCCCATCTTGCCAGGCAGGAGCTGCTCAGCAAGTAGGGCAGAAGATAGAGGGGTGGGGGGCTGAAGCTATTCCTCCTGGGGGGGAAGGGGAAACGGCACCCACACACGGCGGCTTTATTCTTTAATAAATACCTGGAATTGACCGGTGCAAACCCGGATAAAAACGGAAATGAGGAGAGCGCCTCGTAGCCAGGAGTGAGAAATGAGAACGGCTCCATCCGTGGCAGAGACCCAACGGGGGGGGGGGGATGTGACAGGCCACTGCCAGGATGCTGGGGGGGGGTCCCTACCTGCCACTTACCCCAATTGGCTGCTGCTGCTTTTTTTTTATTTTCTGTCTTGTAGCCAAATTAAAGTGGACGGTACCCTTTGATCTGAGAGCCCCCAAGTCTTGCTTTCCAAAGAGGGCGGAGAAGGGAAGCGCTTCGCCACTCCCGGGTAGTTGAGGTAGTCTTCAACTTACGACGATCGTTCTAAAGGACGACGTCCGGACTCCCACCATCGCAGTGCCCCTCCTGTGCTGGCACGATTACAATCCGGGCTCTCAGCATGCGGTACCGGAGATCCAGGACAGCCGCAGGGCGATCCCGCCGGCACCTTGCTTACTGACCGCCGTAAGATGGATCCCTTACGGTCGTTAAGGACTGTCTGTGCCCTTCCTCCAGGCACTGCATGAATCGTTGCTTCAACCTCCGCCTCAAATTTGGAGGCAGCGGGAAGCACCAATGACATTTTTCTCATCCCAAACAGCTTGGGCGTCAGGAAAGACTTCCTCCCACACGCAGACGTTCAAAGCGGAGCTTCATAAGAACTAGAAACATGATTTTGTTTCTCCTAAAACTGTAATTCCACGGGCGCCAAAGAACAGAATATCACGACTTGTGTGTGTGTGTGTGTGTTGCCCAATCCTCAACCTCCCTTTTGCTTTCATAAGACCCCTCTCCCTGTTCACCACAGTGTGGTTGGATTTTCTGATCGCAGCCCCTTAGAAGACCCTAACCCTAAATTCTTGGGAGTAAGATTTGTCTGTTGTGCAAAGCCGCAACCATTGGGCACGCCCAGCCGCAGTTCACACACACACACACACACACACACACACACAATCAGTTGGCTGCATTCCCTGGCCGTTCTTATAAGTCGGTTCGAGATGGCCCCCTGCCTTCTTTTTTGTGCGGGGGGCTCACGAGTCCATCGCAGGGATCCGGGAACTCCTTTTGGCCACAATTCTGTTGAAGATGCTGGAGCAGGATCGTGGTTGCCTGCTCAAAAAGGGACGGTAAAACCTTCTGCTCCGCGTTGGTAAACTGGCTTAGGACGTAATCTTCTACGGCTTCCTTCCCCGTCGGACGGCCGATGCCGATCCTCAGCCGCGCCATGCGCTGCGGAGAGAGAAGGCACGAAAGAGCTGCAGTTGGTGGACAGATTCTGCGAACCCCTCAAGCATCATCAGATCAACCGACCCCTTTCTCTTCTCAACAGGGCCCTGCCCCAATTCGCATCCCCCTGCTCAGCAGAGGGAAACTGACTAGGACTTGCCCGCAGGCAGGTGGGCAGTTTTAACCATGCCCAGCGTTGCTGTTTAGCCTGGCAAACACCACATCTGTGGTCCTCTTTAACTAGGCTCTACCCCAAGCAAGGAATAAACGACGCCAAGCAGGCGAAGGGGGTTTGCTCGCGGTAAGCCGAGATGCTGTTACGCAGGACCGGTAATCAAGGATCTGCTGTTCTGACTGCGACACAAGGGTGTAAGGAAGGGATCAGAAAGCGAAATTAAGACCTACGTCGGAGTGCAGGCAGCTGATGCAGGAACGGACTCCGTTGTGACCTCTGAAAGATAAGCAAGGCCTGTGAGATCCTGGCTTTTCTTCAAGATGGGTTTATTTCAGTAATCCTAGCTTAATTGTGGCTTAAAGACCTGGCTAAATTCAGGCTAAACTCAGAACGAGCCAGCCACTTTAGAGTACCGTATATTCTGGCGTATAAGACGACTTTTGAGAGCGTTGAAACAGGCGCCGAACTTGGGGGTTGTCTTATACGCCAAGTCGTCTTATACGCCGGAAATAATGGTAGTTTCCGGAGTATAAGACAACTTTCTAGGCATGCGACTCAGTGTCGATCATCTTATACGCGGAAATACCGGTAGTTTCCGGCGTATAAGACGACTTTCTAGGCATGAGACTCGGCGTCGAAGTCGGGGGTCGTCTTATACGCTGGGTCGCCCTATACGATGGAATATACGGTACCTGCACTATGAATAAGGAGCCTGCATGGCTTCAACATCTAAGGGACTGGTTTGGACAAAACTCAGCAGCCCTTTTTCGTGCAGCTGCTGATAAAAACAGGATTGCCAACGTCCAATAACGGATAGGGCAGAAGAAGAAGAAGAAGGAGGAGGAGGAGGAGGAGGAGGAGGAGGAGGAGGAAGAAGAAAGAGGAGGAAGAAGAAGAAGAAGAAGAAGAAGAAGAAGAGGAAGAAGGAGGAGGAGGTGTCTATAAACTAAAAATATAATTGTTTGGCATCGGGTACCTGGCACTGCCTCCCAGTTTTAGGGAGAGCTTCCCCAGAGGCTTATCCAGATCATCATGGACCAGATAAATATCTTCAATACTGAGGCTGAATTTTTCCGCTGGCGAGAGAAGAGATGGTCAGTGGGAGAGACCAATCTAGTTGGAGACAACTGGTTTAAAATAGGTTTGGTTTTTGCAGCGTGGATTCGCACCCATCCCCAATTTTCCAAACCCAGAGATGGCAGGCTTAGGGAGGGAAGGGAGATAAGTGGCAATCCCAGATATTTGATTGACTCCGGATCATGGGAAGGAGGTTGACTACTAGACAGAAGATCTGGAGAACGTGATCAGTGTGAGATCTTCCGTTTCCTTCCATTCTTCATCCATTTACTCCCTTCCCTTTTTCATCCATTTACTCCCTTCCCTTCCCCTCTTTATCCAGTTACTCCCTTCCCTTCCTTCCCTTCCCTTTTTCGTCCATTTACTCCCTTCTCTTCCCTTTTTCATCCATTTACTCCCTTTCCTTCCCTTTTCATCCATTTACTCCCTTCCCTTTTTCATTCATTTACTCCCTTTCCTTCCCTTCTTCATCCATTTACTCCCTTTCCTTCCCTTTTCATCCATTTACTCCCTTCCCTTTTTCATCCATTTACTCCCTTCTCTTCCCTTCTTCATCCATTTACTCCCTTCCCTTCCCTTCCCTTCCCTTCCCTCCATCTTGTATAATTCATACATTGCAATATGACTCCTTAGACAATGTTGGGTAAACCACGCTTTCTATCTTAACTCCAGGCATAACTCAGCCACAAACATGCTAGTCTTGCTGGGTGATTCACGGACGGTTCAATTCACCGTGTGACCCATAAACTAACTGGGTGACTTGAGCAACCCAAAGCTGCCCAACCACAGGAAGGAATTGTTCTTGGAACAGCGGAGTGACTCCCATCCGGGATGGTGTATTCAACAAACCATCAACGGAACAACCAGCCGCCTGCCAGGATGTGGACCTCACGGAAGGAGGTGGCCATCCATTGGCGAGTGAAGAGGACGAAGCAGAGCCTGTCGTACCAGCTGTGACCACGGAGGTCCCATTGAGGTTCATGAACTTGCGAGGTTTCATCAGCAGAAGCTCAGCGTCTCCTAGGCGGGCCACCACTATGTCCGCGCAGCATTGCTTGTCTCTCTTCCACTGGTCACCCATGTCCAGCTTGGAGGCCAGGTGGTTCAGCACTGCCATGCCCACGCTGTGCCGGGTACCAGGGAGCGTGTAGTTGCCCAGGCCAGCCACCTGCAAAGGATAAGGAGAAGCCATGAATGGTCCACAGGGATGGATTTAGTGATCTTCTCTAACCTTCTCCAGATGGTCTATAGATGGTCTTCAGATCACATTGTCTCCAAGCGTCAGACCTGGGGCTGGGACCTCAAAGTCCTGGAAGCCAAGCTGGGCAAGATTCCCTAATTTCATCCCCTTTAAATCCAGCTTTTCCATGCTTGCAAAGCAGCCAGATGTTTACGGGAGGGTGGAACGTTGCATTGTGAGAGGTGGAAAGTGGGGACAACAGCTGCAACTCTTCTAAGCTGAGCTCTAATCTGGACAGCAATGCAAGCCTGTAGTCCAAAAACATCTGGAAGGCACAGCCCTACCTTTATTTAAACGTCTTCTCCCTTGTTGGCCCGCATACGGAAGATTTCTGTTACAAAGAACCGGAAGTCTAATGTGACTGCCACGCTTGCTTTACCTCTTTGGGACTGCCCGGTCGAATTGACCCACCCAACCCGGAAGCGATCGTCTCCAAACCGGAAGGAGCCTGGCCATAATGGCGTTCGCTTAAGATCGGCCGTCTTACCAGCACCCGTTTTTGAGCGGTTTGTAGCTCGTCGCCGCGGTGACCCAGAGCCCAGCGTAGGAGTTGCCTGAGGGGCTGAGGACGCGTCATGGCCTCTCCGCCTCGCCCTTCCTCCTTCCCGAAGGCCTACTTCCGGTGCCGGCCGTAAAGTTAAAAAAAAAAAAAAAAAGCCGAGCTCCGCCTTTGCCTCTTGGTTCAGTTAGTGTGACGTCACTGGTCCTGTGGCCTATCACGGGAGGCCTGGCGGGAAGGTTTCCGGCCGCCATCTTCCTTAAGGGCGGAAGCTCGAGTTTCTTCTTTAAGTCAAGCGCCAGTCACCGCCGTGAAATATAATCAAAATTCTTAGGAAGATGCAAATACGTAACTTGCTATTTTGCTCTTTAAAAATTAAAGCCACGGCCTCTAGGAAGCAATTACAGCAATAACAACAGCAACAACAGTAATAATACCTTGGGACTTGACAGGTTTGATAATAATAACATCAGCAACAGCAACAGTAATAATAAAAATAGAATATCTTGGGAAGGACATGATAGGAATAATAATACTAATAATGACAATGATAAAAATAAAATACCCTGGGAAGGACATGATAGGTATAATAGTAATAATAATAATAATAATAACAACAACAACAATTGGAGCACCACTTGAACACCATTGGCATTGACAAATTCACTATTAGTCAATTGCAAGAGGCAGCCTTACTAGGAACTGCTTCCATCCTGCGATGATATCTGTAATACCATCAAACATCCACATCTGCCTATCCCAGGTCCTGGGTAAGGACTCGATAGGTAGACAAAATGCCAAATCCAGTCTGAACATCTGGCTGACTGTGCAATGATCAATAATAATAATAATAATAATAATAATAATAATTCCTTTGGGAAGGACTTCAATAAGAATAATAATAAATACCTTGGGAAGGACTTCATAGGAATAACAACAACAACAACAATAATAATGCCACCTTGGGAAGGACTTGATAGGTTGATAAAAATGCCAAATCCAGTCTAAAAGTCTGGCTGACTGCACCCACCCTAATAATAAACATATTAAATATATTGTTTAGTACGTAATATAAAGTTACTAAATTTGTACTACAAATGCATGTCATAAGTGTACTAAATAAATAGGAATAAAAATAATACCAATCTTTCACGCAATCTTTCTGTGCCTTCAAACCCCTGTCCTGAAGATGTGGAAGCCTGACGAGGAAGTCTCTTTTTTAAAATTCCTCTTTTGCTCTCTAGCAGCCAACTAGGGAAGTTTTGAGCCCACCAAGCTGTTGACATAGAGACCAGGGGACGCAAATTACAGAGCGGCTGGAGGAGCAATGGAGGAGGAAGAAGAGGTTGAAGAACCCAAAGCAAAGGTGAAGGTGAGGAGAAAGTTGCACCCTAACCAAGAGCAAGTGGATCAGATAGAGAGACCTGCTGACTTTTTCATCCTCCCTATCCTAACAGGAGGTGAAGATGTCAACTGTCGTTCTGACACTCTTCCCCACGGCTGTCACTGAAGAAAAACTTCAAGAATCGAAGGAAAAAGCCATCACTCGTATCTTTGGGCCCGCCAAGACTTTGCTGAAGGTTAAAAACCCCCAGAGAGCAGGAGATTTTGAAAGCATTCTGAAGAGCAAAATAGACGAGCAGTAAGTGTTAACCGTCTCCTCCCTAAAACACAACAAATGAGGATCTGTGAATAATCCGTAGTTTGCTTTAATTTTTAAAGCTTAGCTTAAAACTGGGTGAGGTTTCTATTAATGAAGGCAATTGTGTCTTGGTGTGGCGAACAAATAGGTCTGTAGCATTTGATTGTGTCTGGTTTTTTTTTTTTTTTTTTTTTTTTTTATTTAAAATTTTTAAATTTTTACAAAAACAAATCCCCTTCCCATACCCCCCCCAACCCTACCTCACCCCCCTCCTCCCCAACCTCCCAAACCCTCCCCTAGACTTCCCAGAGCTGAATACAGGCTTAATTGAGAAAAAAACTTAAAACACTTTTAAAACCTAAACAAATTTAAATACAATCATCATTCTATATAAACTCCCTCCAAAAACGCAAATTTAAACATTACTTTCTTTGAATATCTATAGCTATAATGTAAAATCTAATTTCTCCCTCTTTCTTTATCCTAATACAAAAACAATCTTCATAATCTTCTCACTGGTTTTTTTTAAAACTAATCATATTGATGTATTTTCCTTAATTTCTTGGTCTTCTTTTTCCTTGCTTATTTTATTTTTCTCTTTTTTAATTTTGCTTTGTTTAATCTTCCTTGTTATTGCTTCTTTTTTTTATGGATGTGAGTCTTTGGAAAGGATTCGATAGTTCGTCTGAACATTTCACAGAGCAATAATAACAACAACAATAATTTGGGTTCCTTGGGGTTTGATTTGGGATCAGGCCTCAACTTCTAATCAGCCCAAAGAGGATCCAGGCAGAAGTAACCCAAAAGGAAAGGAAAATAGGTCCAGCAAGCAATGTTCATTCCCTTTTATTATCTGTCTAAAGAGAAAATCCACACAACCTAATGTTATTTATGGCTTGCTGAGCAAAACGTGGCTTAATCCACGTGAACTGAATGATTCTGTCTGGATGGGCAAATCATTGGTTTTTAATTCTTTCAAATTTTTAAAGAAGCTTTGGACTAGCAAGAGGAGGATGGGCTTCTGGTCCCAACAGCTCTGATTTCCCTTTTTTTTTTGTTTTTGGGTTTGTTTTTTTTCAGCTGCCAAGAAGGTCATCTTTACTTCTCTCAAGGGGAGTGGGAGAAAGCTATCACTTGCTACACCAAGGCTCTGAATCTGGACCCCAACAAGGTAGATGTGGAGATGGAGATTGGCCATCTCTATCTATCTATCTATCTATCTATCTATCTATCTATCTATCTATCTATCTATCTATCTATCACAATAAAGATCCACGTGTGGCCTTCTCAGTGACGGGCGAGAACTTGGCTCTCCTGTTGGGATGGAATTTCCCATCCATTCTGAGAATTCACCAGCTAGGAGAGAAACAGAGGCTAGGCCAGTTGTTTCTCACTCTTGGCAACATTTAAAAGGTGTGGATTTCAACTCCCAGAATTCCCCAGGCTGGACCGACAACACCGAGGAGCTTCTGAAGGCCATCGTGGCTTCTTCTCCCTAGGTAGAACTTTACGAGAAGAAAGCGGACGCTTTTCTCCAGCTTTGTGACTTCCAGTCTGCCGCCATGCACCTTCGGAAGGTCTATCGGGTGTCGCCGAAGGAGGAGATCCGAGAGAGGCTGGCCTTTGTTGTATTCATACAGGTGGAGTGGAGGATAGGCTTGGAAAGGCCTGTCTCCTTCCTTTCTTCCTGCCTGCCTTCCCCCTTCTCCTTCTCCTTCCCTTTCCCTTTTCCCTTCCACTTCTCTCTCTCTCCCTTCCTTCCTTCCTTCCTTCCTTCTTTCCTTCTCCCTTACTCCCACCCTCACCTATCTTACCATATCCTCCCTCCGTCCCTTCCTCTCTTCCCTCCCTCCCTTCTGTATCCTCCCTCCTTCTCTCCCTTCCCTATCCTCTTTCTTTCTTTCTTTCTTTCTTTCTTTCTTTCCCTCCCTCCCTCCCTCCCTCCCTCCCTCCCTCCCTCCCTCCCAGTATCCTATCCTATCCTTCCCTCCCTCCCTTCTCCTGTGCTAAAGCCTCAGCTTTCCAGCACTATCTAATCTGGCTTAATAATAAAGGCATTGAGGCTTCTTCGTGGATGGGAGGAAACGGGAAGGACCATTTTTCTGCAACCTGGTCCTTACAGGGCCCATTATCCCTTCCCTCACCAGGGTCAGTCTCTGTACGAGCAGAAGGTTTATCTGGATGCTCTCCACTCCTTCACTCACGCCTGCGAGCTCCAGCCTCAGAACACGCTTTATCGCATAAGGAGGTAAGCAAGGGATTGGGGTTGTTGCAGAAAGGAGGAGGAGGAGGAGGAGGAGGAGGAGGAGGAGGAGAAGAAGAAGAAGAAGAGGAGGAGGAGGAGGAGGAGGAGGAGGAGGAGAAGAAGAAGAAGGAAGAAGAAGAAGAGAAGCAGGAGGAGAAGGAGAAGAAGAAGAAGAAGAAGAAGAAGAAGAAGAAGAAGAAGAAGAAGAAGAAGAAGAAGAAGAAGAAGAAGAAGAAGAAGAAGGGGGAGGAGGAGGAGGAAGAGGAAGAGGAGGAGGAGAAAAAGAAGAAGAAGAGAAGAAGAAGAAGAAGAAGAAGAAGAAGAAGAAGAAGAAGAAGAAGAAGAATAAGAAGAAGAAGAAGAAGAAGAAGAAGAAGAAGAAGAAGAAGAAGAAGAAGAAGAAGAAGAAGAAGAAGAAGAAGAAGAAGAAGAAGAAGAAGAAGAAGAAGAAGAAGAAGAAGAAGAAGAAGAAGACGAAGAAGAAGAAGAAGAAGAAGAAGAAGAAGAAGAAGAAGAAGAAGAAGAAGAAGAAGAAGAAGAAGAAGAAGAAGAAGAAGAAGAAGAAGAAGAAGAAGTTTTAAGAATGATGAGGTCACCGTCTAGTCTACACTTAAATAGGATGATCAGACAGGCGATTAATAATCCTGGCTTGGAAAAGATTATTTTAAAAAAGATTGCCAATGGCAAAATGCCCTTTCTTGGAAGTAGGACTGATGTGAGAAGCAGCTTTGTTGTTTGAGGGAGGCCTCCAATTTGTTCTCAAGGATGGGAGGCCTTGAGGCCTGTCAGAATCTTTTCTGAATGTAAGTAAAACCTTAAAGTCTCCTTTCCTTTCCCCCACCAGCATTGCTTGCCTGGCTGCGATGAACCGATTCAACGATTGCCTTCAGATGGTCAATGAGGAGGTGGAACTGGAGAAGAACAACGCCGATCTCTTTGTCCTGAGGGCTCGTCTCTTTGAATACTTTGGGAAGGTGAAAAACAACCTGATTATTCTTTGAGAATCTTTCTCTCAGCCACCCGCTAATTACACATAGGGAGTCCTTAAATGTACATTTAGAGTGACAATAAAGTTTATTCTATTCTATTCTATTCTATTCTATTCTCTTCTCTTCTCTTCTACTCTACTCTACTCTACTCTACTCTACTCTACTCTACTCCATCCATTCCATTCTATTCTACTCTACTCTACTCTACTCTATTCTATTATTATTTTCTATTTTCTATTCTATTCTATCTTCTATTATTCTATTCTATTCTATTATTATTTTCTATTTTCTATTTTTCTATTCTATTCTATACTCTATTCTATTCTATTCTGTTATTATTTTCTATTTTCTATTCTATATTCTATTATTATTTTCTATTTTCTATTTTCTATTCTATTCTATTTTCTATTCTATTCTATTCTATTCTATTCTATTCTATTCTCTATTCCCTATTCCCTATTCCCTATTCCCTATTCCCTATTCTATTCCTTGTTGCTCAGCGACAGTTTGAAGTTACATTGAAAAAAGTGATTGACCCCCAGTCCTCACATTACGACCATCACAGCATGCCCACGGTCACAGGTTCAAAGTTCAGGTATTTGGCAACCACTGTGTATTTACCACCATTGCGCTGGGGGTCCCATGATCATCATTTGTAAGCTTCCCAGCTGCCATCCGACAAGGCAAGTCGGCGGGGGAAGTTGAATTCCTTTAACCACCACATGTCCCAAAGGTGCTTTTTTTTCAGGAAGCAACGGGACTCTGTTTTTCTTTGAAGACGTTTCGCTTCTCCTCCCAGAAGCTTCTTCAGCTCTGCCTGGATGGTGGGGAATGGAAGGATTTATACTCCTTGCAGACCGCTGGTCCTTTGCCTTCTTTTCAAGAGTCATCGAGGCCACTTGGCACTTATAAATCCTTCCATTTCCCCACCATCCCATCAGAGCTGAAGAAGCTTATTGGAGGAGAAGCGAAACGTCTTCCAAGGAAAAACAAGAAAGTCCAGTTGCCTCCTGAAGAACTGAAGAAGCTTCTGGGATGAGAAGCGAAACGTCTTCAAGGGAAAAAAAAAAGCCCTGAAAAAACACCTTTGAGACAACCAGGACCTGGATGATGGAGACTCTCCATAGACATCAACCACCCCGTGCTTCCCTTAAGGACCGCAGTGTCTGGTTTCTCCCCCCCCCCCAAGGCAAGCTGCTGTTTCTGCAACATCCAAGAGGCCCTGGCCTTGGATCCAGGCCACGTTGAAGCCCAGCTCCTGTTGAAGAAGATGACCAAGGAGGCGGAGAGATCTAAAGATTTGGCGGTGAGCTTGGCCATCAAAGGCAACTTGAAAGGTGCTTTGCTGAAGATCAACCGGGCCATCAGTTACAACCCCTTGGATGAAAAGTACTTCCTCTTCAGGTACCTGTGTGTCCCTAGTCCATTCCCTTCACTTTTTAACAGAGTTGGAAGGGACCTTGGAGGTCTTCTAGTCCAACCCTCTGCTCAGGCAGGAAACCCTATACTGTTTCAGACAAATGCCTGTCCAGTCTCTTCTTAAAAACTCCCAGTGTTGGAGCATTCACCGCTTCTGGAGGCAGGTTGTTCCACTGGGTAATTGTCCTCACTGCCAGGAAGTTTCTCCTTAGTTCTAGGTTGCTTTTCTCTTTGGTTAGTTTCCATCCGTTGCTTCTTGTCTTGCCTTCAGGAGCTTTGGAGAATAGCTTGGCTCCCTCTTCTTTGGGGCAGCCCCTGAGATATTGGAACACTGCTATCATGTCCCCCCTCGTCCTTCTCTTCGTTAAACTAGACATATCCAATTCCAGCAAACGTTCCTTACATGTTTTAGCCTCCAGTCCCCAAATCATCCTTGTTGCTCTTCTCTGCACTCTTTCTAGAGTCTCAACATCTTTTTGACATCGCGGTGACCAAAACTGGATGCAGCATTCCAAGTGTGGCCTTACCAAAGCATTATAAAGTGGTATTAACACTTCACATATTCTTGGTTCTCTCCCTCTGTTAATGCAGTGTAGGATTGTGTTGGCTTTTTCGGCAGCTGCAGCACACGGCTGGCTCGTATCTAAGGGATCGTCCGCTAGGACGTCGAGATCCCTCTCGCAGTTAATGATTGCTAACGCCCTGGATTCACCTCTCTTGGTTTGCTTTCCTCCTTGAATCCTGCAAGGGGCACCCTCCTGCGCAGGCTGAAGGACTTCAGCGCGGCCATCGATGACTACCTGAAAGCCGTCGAGCTGTGCCGAGCGGACGAGGCCAGCGAGGTGCGACACGAGGCCGAGAAGCAGGTGCTGCTGAGCTACAACGACTTTGCCGTCCACTGTTACCACAAGGGCTGCTACGAAGAGGCGGTGCAGCTGCTCAACAAAGCCGTCAAAGGGGAGAAAAACGAATTTGGCCTCTACGTAAACCGAGGGGGTAGGTGGGGAAGACGTCTCGGCTTCCCTCTGTTGCTTCCTGCGTTTGCGTCTGCGTGGTCTCGGGCAGAGAAGAAGCACAAGGTGTGGTGCTTGGGAGGGGGGCAGGCCCAAGGTCTCCAGATCTATGGCTGAGGGGTCCTTGGTGCTCTCTGAGCTGGGCGGCTCTCTTGTAGACGTTTCATGACCCAACTAGGTAACATCATCAATGCTAGAAGGAGGGGGGTTTGCGGAGAAGAGGACTGGGTGATCCTTGGTGTTCTCTGAGCTTGGTGGCTTTCTTGCAGACATTCCATTACCTGATTAAGTAAGATCAGTGCTCACTGTTGCCTAGCTTGGGTAATGAAACGTTTGCAAGGAAATCACCAACTCCTCCTCCTCCTCCTCCTTCTTCTTCTTCTTCTTCTTCTTCTTCTTCTCCTCCTCCTCCACCTCCTCCTCTTCTTCCTCTTCCTCTTCCTCTCCTCTTCCTCTCCTCCTCCTCCTCCTCCTCCTCCTCCTCCCCCTCTTCTTCTTCTTCTTCTTCTTCTTCTTCTTCTTCTTCTTCTTCTTCTTCTTCTTCTTCTTCTTCTTCTCTTCCTCCTCCTCCTCCTCCTCCTCCTCCCCACAGCCAACCTTGTAGCACTGACGATGTTACCTAGTTGGGTAATGAAATACCTGCAGGAAAACCACCCAGCTCAGAGAGTACCAAGGACCACACAGTCCTCCTCTTCCTCCTCACCACACCCCACTCTCTTGTAGCACTGATGGCGTTAGCTAGTTGGGTCATGAAATGTCTCCAAGAAAACCACCCAGTTCAGAGAGCATCGAGGAGCCCACATTTCAACCCTGAGCTACAAGTCCTCTCCTTTATTAGATTTATAGTTGCCTGCAGCGAAGGGGAATGTCTGGTGGGCAGGAAGAAGGGGTGACTCACAGGGTCTGTCTGTAGTTATGCAGATCATTGCTTTAGCCCGGCAAGATTCTGTCTGTAGGTGAATGACAATAAACTACTTGCGTTTCGTTCTTGGTTCTTCGGGCCTGACAGCTATTCCCATTTGCCTGCTGATGGATTCTCTCTCTCTTTTTTCTCTCTCTCTTTCTCTCTCCTCTCTCTCTCTTTCCTCTCTCTCGTTCTTTCTCTCATCCTCTCTTCTCTCTCATACTTCCTTTCTTTCTCTCTCTCTTTCTTTCTCCTCTCTGTCTCTCCCCCCCTCTTTCTCTCTCCTCTCCTCTCTCTCTCTCTCTCTCTCTCTCTCTTTCTCTTTCTCTCTCTCTGTCTCTCTCTCTCCCCTCTCTCTCTCTCTTTCTCCTTTCTCTCTCTCCTCTCTCTCTCTCTCTCTGTCTGTCTCTCTCCCCCCCCTCTCTCTTTCTCCTCTCTCCTCCCTCTCTCAGACTGTTTTCTGAAAATGGGCCAGCTGAATTTTGCCATGGCGGATTACCAACAGGCTCTAGAGCTGCGTCCGTTAGACCCCAAACTCCGCCGGCGCATCGCTTGGCTCTCCAACGAGACCGGATTGCAAGACTTCCGCAAAAAGTAGGCCGGGATCCGTCCGAGGACCCAGGGCGAGGTTTCCCTGGAGGGGGAAACGCTGGACTTGCAAGATGATCCTTCTTAGTAGATCATCTGGAGGGCCTGGTCATCCCACTTTTATTCCTCTCGGGGGGGGGGGTTTGCAGCAGTCCCGTAAAACAGATGAGCGGGACCGAGATTCATGCATTTATTGACCCATCCATCCATCCATCCATCCATCCATCCATCCATCTACCTATCTACCTACCTATCTATCTATCTCTGTTTTTCAGGCAGTACCTGCAGGCTGAAACGCACTTCTCCTCCGCAGTGGAGAATGACCCATGGGAAGTGAAGTATTATCTGAATAGGGCGAAGACACGCGTGTTTCTGCAGGAGTTCCTGGGTGCAAAGGAAGACATGATCAGCGCCCTGTTGCTGAACCCCAGCAAGGAAGAGGTAGGCACATGTCGTCCTCCACTTACGACCACAACAGAACCCCAATTTTCCGTTACTAAGGGGGACATTCCTTAAGTGAATTTTGCCCCAGTTCACACCCTTCCTTGCCCCAGTTGTTGCGGAATTCTGGGAGTTGAAGTCCACCGGTCTTCAAGCATGCTGGCTGGCTGGCTGAGGAATTCTGGGAGCTGAAATCCAGATACCTTAAGGCTTCTGGGACTTGAAGTTCACCCCTCTTCAAGCATCCTGGCTGAGGCATTCTGGGAGCTGAAATCCACCCCCCTTAAGGCTTCTGGGACTTGAAGTCCCAGCACTTAAAGCAGCAGAGAGTAAGAAACACTACACCGAAGAAGAAGAAAAAAAACCAATAGAAGCGTCTCCATTTCGAGTATGGGTTTTCATTTTTATTTTATTTTTTTTAAAAAAAGGTGATTTATTTTTGAATTCCAGGTCCGGACCCTGATGGGCAACCTGTTTCCCGGCGAGAACCCCGAATCCCTCCTCAGCAGCAAAGTGGGAGATTTGACCAAAACTCTCCTGGATCGAAAGCTGAACGCTTTCCTTGAAGGGAGGTATGGAATCCAAAACCACGGGGAGGTTGTATAGCATTTTGGGGGGGGGGCAGACCTGTAATAGGGGGTCGCTCAACCCATCCCTTTTTCCCCTCCTCCGGGGCCAGCCGGGAAGTCCTCGGCCTGCCAAGCAAGATTTTTTTTTTTTTTAATCTGGGATTGGGAGGGCGATGGTGGGACCGTCCTGCCTTTCGGCCTTCGGGCCAGTAAACTCTGCCGCCGCGCCGAAGCAGATGGGAGTTGTAGTCTGCAGGGCTGGAGATTTCCCCCGCCCCCCCCCCCGACACACACATACACGCACGGGCTCCGTTTGCTTCTGGGCAACCTCAGTCCCTGTGGGGGCCTTGCGTTCTTTTTCAGCACCGGCATGCCTTAATTAAGAGCAGCCCAATCAATAAGGTCCGGTCGATACAAAACAAGGATCAGTTTTAGGGTGTCTGGCAGAATCTGCCCTGCTGCCTCGTGCAAGGGGTGTCCCCAAAAGTGTCGAGAGTGCTCTGTGTGTGTGTGTGTGTGTGTCTCTTGTTCTGTCTCTGTCTCTTGTTCTCTTTCCCTTCTGTCTCGTTCTCTCCTTTCTCCTCGTTCTTTCTCTCATCCTCTCTTCTCTCCTACTTCCTTTCTTTCTCTCCCTTTCTCTCCTTTCTCATCTGTCTCCTCTTTCTTTCCTTTCTCGCCCTCGCGTTTCCTCTTGTTCTTTCTCTTTCCTCTCATTCTCTCCCCTTTCTCGCTCTCCATTCTCTTTCTTTCCTCTCATTTTCTCCTCTTATTCTCTCCTCTCGTTCTCCTTCCTTTCTTTTGCCCCTTTCTTGTTCTCTCCTCTGATTCTTTCCTTTCTCCTTTCTCTCATTCTTTTCTCGTTCTCCTTCCTCTTTTGCTCTTGTCTTGTTCTCCTCTCGTTCTCGCTTTTTCGTTCTCTTGTTTTCTCTCATTCTCTCCTCTCTCTTTCTCTCTCCTGTCTCTCTCTCTCTCTTTCTCATTCTCTCTCTCCTCTCTCTCTCTCTCTCTCTGCCTTTCCACCTTCTTCCAGGCCTCTGAAATCATCAGGATCCGAACTCCGAACCAGTGTGTACGTTCAGATCGAGGACCAACAGAAGGCCGAGGAGCCAGCAGTGAAGGAGGAGAAGGAGAAGGTTTCTGAAGAAAAAAAGCTGCAAAAGAGACTGGCCGAATGTCAGCAGCATTCGCACCAGGTACCTCTGCCCCTGGGAAGGGAAGCGAGATGTTTCATTTATTTATTTATTTCTTTTATTCGATTTATACGGCGCCCTTCTCTCCTGTAATGTGGCTCTGGGAACTTTGGGATTTCCATTAGCTATCTCAGCGCCGTGAACGGGTTGCAGAAGGGTCACAGTTGTAGCTAATAAGAAAACAGCCCTGGATCAGAGAAGAATGTGGTCACGTTTTTAGTCTTTTATCCAGGCCTTTTGCAGGTGAGAACATCACAAAAAGAACTTTCCACCCCGAGAAAAAATTTTTTTTTTTGCGGCTGGGCCGAATTATTTGGTATATTCGGATGCATTTTGATCCAAATATCAGTTGACCCATTGCTTCGTTAATTTTTTTTTTAACCATTTTTGTTGCAATGGCTTCGCAGTTGGCCTGCTTGAACAACAGAATAACAGAGTTGGAAGGGACCTCGGAGGTCTTCTAGTCCAACCCCCTGATCAGGCAGGAAACCCTACACCATTTCGGACAAATGGGCTGGCTGTAATTTTAGGACCCTCCCACCCCCAGGGGTGAGGACCAGTTCCTTCCATCTCACCCCAGCTCCCAAACAGAACAGATTTGTCTGGGATAGTAATGAGGCCTCCTGTCTCGGCAGGGGGTTGGACTAGAGGACCTCCAAGGTCCCTTCCCACTTTCTAAGTCAGAGAAGAAATGGGCGTTTAGGTCCGCATGGCAGCTGTGAGCTCCCATCCCTGCCCATTTTGAAAGGGGAGAGGCCAACAACCTCAACTTCGCTATCCCTTAAGTTGTTCAGCGTGGAAAGTGGGAATTGTCGAATTATCCGGTGTGTCTCGCAGGCCGACGAGGAGCTGAAAGAAGCACGTCAACATAAGCCAACTCTGGAATCCAAAACCGTCTGGATAGACCCCTGCCCTCGTCTGCCCCCCAAGGAATGCCCCAAGGAACCATTCAACTGGAGAAAAAATTAAGAAGGCATCGGTCAGTTCGTTTCGGTAACCAGGATCCCCAAATCTTGGAAAGGGGGTGATGCCATCCCTTCTCCCCCTTCGGGGCTCAGAGTGACTTGTGGCAGACCCACAGGGCAAAGGGGTACCCAGTGGGATGGTGCAATTAGCACCAGAATTAATCTCCTCCCCCCCACACACACACAAGCTGCTTCTTGGGTTTGCAAGGATCTACAAAGAACGACTGGCAATTTGCAGCTTATTTCTTTTGCGGTTTTTCTAGACTCTGGAAAAGACTTTATAAAGTTGTGCCTTTCCTGGGTTTTTTTTTTTATTATTTAAATAAAGCAAGCTTTTGAAGACCTTCAAGTACGCCCAGGTTTTTTCACATTTATTGTGTGTCCAGTTCAGCAATAAACTCAAGATAAGAAGGGGCCGTCAAAAGTTTTTTTTCCCTGCACGCAGCTGAGAGACTCCACTTTTCCAGACGCTTCCTCCATCTTTTCCAGAGAAGGACCCAGATTTTTGTGGGCCATGGATTTGAATCTGGTTGGTACGTCTCCCAACGGCCTGGTTTTGTTCAGACGCCATCCATTTGCATGATAAAACAACAACAACAAAAATCACTATTTCTAATCTTCCCTGCTTTTTAAAACTAGCAGCATACACGCTGGGGTGGATTGCAGTATATTATTAGTTGTTCAAATCTGTTGTTCTGCACCAAAAGGGATAGAAAAAACAGAAAGAGAGGAAAAAAAAGAAATATTCTCTTTGGCTGGTGCTTCCTCGAAACCTCCAAGAAAAACCGACTCTCGCTGTCGATGCGAAGTCTTTTAAAAGCAGCTGCATTTGGTGTAACTTGTAGCAACAAGCCACATCTCAGTCCATCAAGTTCTGGTTGACACAGAAGAGAATGCCCTGGAGAAAAACACACACACACACCCCCCATCCCTGAATTAGAATCGTAAAATACAGCTTATTGGATTTAAAAAATATATATCACAGGGTGTCCCAGAATCATCCTTCGACTTGAGAGGTAGGATTTTTAAGAAGGTGTAGAAAAAAACAACAACGAATTAATTCAACGGCACTAACGGCAGGAATTTGTAAAACGTCCGAGGAGCGGTGTTCTAAAAGCAAGGCAAGATTCCCCCGCGTAATGCATCACAGAATCTTCTTCAGAGTTCAAAAAAAGCCGGATTCCGGGCCACGTCGTAACAGGGGCATCGCGTTTGATCAAGCCAGCATCGTTCTTTGCCTTTCAAAAGACCCCGTCCTTGGTCCTTCAGAACCCAGAAACGGTCATGCCTTGGAAGAAAACCGTAAACTCCATTCCGGCATTGGGAAAGCGCCTCCAAAGAGGTCATAGGAAAAAAGGGATGCGGGAAGATATGGTTTTGCATCCGGTGGTGGAAAAGATTTTTTCCTCGTCGGGGAAGTAGGAAAAGTTGCCGGCTACCCAGTCCACGACTTGTGGGCGAGGGAGGAGACCCTGGCCAGCCATCTCGTTGACCACACACTGCTTCACGTGGTGCTGCCGCAGGGGGAGGAAAGGCACCCAGATGTCGATCAGCTTTTGCTCAAGGATCCCGGATTTCCAGAATCCGTCTGAAAGAGACGAGAAAAAGAACGAAGGTGAAACTATTAATGTTACAGGCGGGGGGGGGGACCCCGAATTTCTACGTATCTGTGTTTGCTTCGAGGTCAGTTCGATTAAGGCAGTGGATCATGACCTTTTCTTTACCGTGGGATCCCTTTTAAATGCTTTTTGTGGCCGTGGATCGTGACCGCGGACCCCCAAGACTTAATTCAAGATTTAAAATCGTGACATTGCAGACTCCTCGTGAGGACATTGTGCCCTCCCGCCAAGGATCTGTGGAGAACGGCTGCAGGATTTGGGAATGGCTGGACTAGAGAAAAGAAGGACTAGGGGGGGACATGATAGCAGTCTTCCAGTATTTGAGAGGCTGCCAAAAAGAGGAAGGGGTCAATTTATTTTCCGAAGCACCAGAAGGAATGCAGTGCTGCAGGCCACTTTAGCTGACTGTGTTCAGCAGGTCAGCGGTTCAAATCTCACCGGCTCAAGGTTGACTCAGCCTTCCATCCTTCCGGGGTAGGTAAAATGAGGACCCAGATTGTTGGGGGCAATGTAAATATATATATATATATATATATATATATATATATATATATATATATATATATATATATATATATATTGCTTACTGGTATACACTGCTTAGAGAGTGCTTGCACTTAAAGCGGTATATAAGTCTCATAAATAAATAAATAAAAAACAACGGGTGGAAACTAATCAAGGAGAGAAGCAGCCTGGAATTAAGGAGAAACTTCCTAACAGTGAAGACTATTAACCAGTGGAACAGCTTGCCACCAGAGCTTGTGGATGCTCCATCACTGGAAGCTTTTAAGAAGAGACAGGACAGCCATTTGTCTGAAACGGTATAGGGTTTCCTGCCTCAGCAGGGGGTTGGACTAGATGACCTCCAAGGTCCCTTCCAACTATTATTATTACTGTTATTATAACTCACTTTGCGGGTCTTTAGAAATGGCCTCCAAAATCGACGCTTCCAGATCCTGACGACTGATCTCCTCGCGGTCTCTGCGGTCCCGCCAGAGGTCCAAAGCCATCCGGTTAATCTGCTCCGCGCCCGTATTGCTAAAGACGGTCAGAGGAGAGCAGCTGAAGCCCAGCCCAGCCCATATCTTACTGGTTTATTGAATACACAACATGGTACAGGCCAGGGGTCTCCAACCTTGCCAACGTTTAAGCCTTGTGGACTTCAGCTCCCAGAATTCTGGGAGTTAAAAGTTCACCAGTCTTAAACGTTGGCAAGGTTGGAGACCCCTACTATAGGCAAAGGAAAACTAACTCTAAAATCCCAAGGCGTCCTAACCAAAGCATCTAACAAGAACCTCCCAGATGTCCACGTAGACCATGTAAACACTTTCTCGTTTTGAGAACTGTCTGCTATCTTCATTCTATCAAGGTTAGAATGCCCTTGAAAAGTTTCCACGATCTTTATGCAGAGAAGAGCAACAAAAAGGATTAGGGGGATGGAGGCTGAAACATATAAAGAGCGGTTGCAGGAATTGGGTACGTCTAGTCTTAACAAAGAGAAGGACCGGGAGGGACATGGTAGCAGTGTTCCAATATCTCAGGGGCTGCCCCAAAGAAGAGGGAGCCAAGCAGGACAAGAAGCAACAAATGGAAACTCATCAAGGAGAGAAGCAACCTAGAACTAAGGAGAAATTTCCTGAGAGTTAGAACAATCAACCATTGGAAAGAACTTGCCTCCAGAAGTTGTGAATGTTCCAATACTGGAAGCTTTTAAGAAGAGACTGGACAGCCATTTGTCTGAAATGGTATAGGGTTTCCTGCCTGAGCAGGGGGTTGGACTAGAAGACCTCCAAGGTCCCTTCCAAGTCTGTTATTCCTATTCTATTCTATTCTATTCTATTCTATTCTACAATCTATTCTATTATTTCTTATTCTATTCTTTCTTTATTCTATTCTATTCTTTCTTATTCTGTTCTATTCTATTCTATAATCTATTCTATTCTTATTTCTTATTCTATTCTATTATTTCTTATTCTATTCTATTCTTATTCTGTTCTATTCTACAATCTATTCTATTCTTATTTCTTATTCTATTCCTTTTCTATTCTATTATTTCTTATTCTATTCTGTTCTGTTCTGTTCTACAATCTATTCTTATTTCTTATTCTATTCTTTTCTATTCTGTTATTTCTTATTCTGTTCTGTTCTATTCTATTCTATTCTATTCTATTCTATTCTATTCTATTCTATTCTATTCTATTCTATTCTATTCTATTGTCACAAACACTTGCAGAACTTTCTCTAACTAGCTGCCAACTTTTCACGCTTGAGACCCAGCCTTGTGTCTTAACTCCTCCCCTCGTTACCTGATAAAGACGAAGATGGCTTTCCGATAGTTGGTCCCGAACACCACCCAGGAAGGTCCCAGGAAGGGCGCAACGACCTCGATCAAGCCTGGATGCAGATCGTCCATCTCGTCGAAGAGGAAAAGGGAACGGCCACACTGGGTCAGATTGCCCTCGATCCAGCTTCTGAGATCGTCCTACGCAGAAGGAGATGGGAGAGAGACGGAGAGAGAAATCAACATTGGAACAGGAAAGGCAAAGAAAAGCTACGCTCACAAGCTGCCAATCAGGATGAGCCAAACACAGAACTCCAGATCCCATCATCCACACCCAGGGGAAGTTGCCCTACAATTCTATCTCCCTTCCAGTCCTGTTTTATAAGTCGTTGGCAGGACGGTTAAGTAGTCCTTGACTATCCAAGTTTAGGGGCAGCGCTGAAGAATGCGACATATCTTTCTCTCCCCCTTTTTTTTCTTTTTTCTTTTTCTCTCTCTCGTCTTTTCTTTTTCTTCATTTTTTTGTGTCTTTTTTTTACTTTTTTTTTTTTAAGAACCTGTTGTTATTATTATTATTATAACTCTGGGTGAGTCTATGCCAGTGGTTCTCAACCTGGGGGTCGGGACCCCATTTGGGGTCAAACGACCATTTCACGGGGGTCACCAAACAACGCAGTCCGCCATTTTTTTCCCCCTTTTCCTTAGCTGTGCTACTCCCTTTTATTCTATTGGCTTTTGAAAGCCAACAGAATAGACTCTCTTGAATAGAGTCTAATTCTATTGGCTTTCAAAAGCCAATCGGAATTGTCCAGGCCGTCTCTGCCCTGCTGAGCCCGCCAAAAGTCCCAGTCTGCAAACGGTGCTGCACCCGTTGAGTAGTCCTAGATTACGACCGGTTGAGTAGTCCTCGACTTACGACCGGTTGGGGGTCGCGGCATTAAAAAGGTTGAGAACCACTGGTCTACGCCTTGCTTAGGAATGGAAATTGCCTGTATGGACCGATGCCCGGGAATGGGTCACTGGGCTGGGTTCACCTGGGATCCGGCCATCGACCAATCAACCCTGTTGCAGCTCAAACAGGCCGCAAAGCAAGCAATGGTGGAGATTGGAGGGCTGTCCGGTTTGCAAAAGTACCACCTCGCAAGGCTGGCGTGTCCGCTCTGCAGCCAGGGAAGCGAAAAAGGAAAGCATTTGCACGCGGTTTGTGGGGAACAGACCCCTCCCCTCCAGCCTCTCTTACCTTGTATTGCTGGAGGTGGTCAGCATGGGGAAAGTGAACCAGCGGGGAGAAGCGGTGGATGTAGGGGCTCCGGAGGCCCGTCCGGAAGAGGTGCTGAGCCAGCAAGGAGCTCAGGAAGGTCTTGCCGGTGCCCGTCGAGCCGTGGAAGGACAGGACCAGGGGCTTGGTGGGCTTGGGATCCTGCACAAACTTCTTCAGGCCTTGGATGACCAGCTGCCTGGCCAGAGGCTGCCCCACCAGGCGCAGGGCTAACTCGCACTCGAGACCTGGGGAGTGGAATAGAGAAGAGAAGAATGGAATGGAACAGAATAGATAAAAGAGAGGCGAGAAGAGAAGAGAATAATAGAATGGAATGGAATAGAGAAGAAAAAAGAAGAGAAGAGAATAATAGAATGGAATGGAGAAGAGAATAATAGAATGGAATGGAATGGAATAAAGAAGAAAAAAGAAGAGAAGAGAATAATAGAATGGAATGGAATAAAGAAGAGAAAAGAAGAGTAGAGAATAATGGAATGGAATAGAGAAGAGAAAAGAAGAGAATAATAGAATGGAATGGAATGGAGAAGAGAATAATAGAATTGAGTGGAATGGAATGGAACAGAATAGAGAAGAGAAAAGAGAAGAGAATAATAGAATGGAACGGAACAGAACAGAATAGAATAATAACTTTATTGTCACTTTAAATCTCCATTAATACATTAAAATGAGATTTCATTGCATGCAACTCTCAAAGGGTAACTGCCTCCAATATAGATTACATAAACATGACCAAAATTAATAATAACAAAACAACAATAACAATAATAGTAATACATATACACACATATATGTATTGAGAAGGCGAGGTCCTATGCCATGATGCCCAAGATATGGGGGAGGGGTCCAAATGGGCATCTGCCAGTGCCCCTTGGCACAGGTAGCACCCTTCCTGCTATTTCTGTGCCCCCAATTTCCTCTTTTCCCCCTCCTTCTTGCCCAATCCTGGGCTTTAAAACTGACCCTCCCCCAAAAGACAGCCCATAAATTGAACCACTTTGCATCTCACAACAACCCTGCAGGGTAGGACAGGGGCAGTAGAATGGGGTCTTCAACCTTGGGGTTTTTTTAAAAAAAAAATAATTGCTGTTCTATTCATTGCTATTCTATTCATCCCAGCCTACCTAGCAGGGCTGTTAGCTGGATGGGGAAGGGGCGGGTGGGACTCGAACTCGCTCCCCTGCGCCCCCCAGCGGCCGCTCTCACCACTACAGCCCCCACCCGCCCACCCGCTGCATAGCCTCACCCGTTAAATCAGGGCAGAATTCGCATTCGCAGGACGCCGACAAGCTGCAATGCCAGGCGCTCGACCCCCAGGGGGCGCCCGAGAGCATCAACCCCGGCAGAGGCAGCAAGAGCAGCAGCAGCAGCAGCCGCGTTCCCGCGAGGGCGCCCCCGCCCCTCTCCATGCTGGCTGTCCGCCCGCGAGAGGGTCGGGAAGCGCGCTCCCGCGTCTCCTCGTGCGGCGGCCCACTCCCGGCCTGCCCCGCGGCCCGGCTCGTGCTCGCAGGCGGAGAGCGAATGGAATTCCTGGCTTCCGCCACGCCGCCGCGCGAGGGGGCGGGACTCCAGGGGGCGGGGCTTGCCGAGGGGAGGTATTTAAGGCTCCACCTCCCCAACCGTCCCCGTTTGGTTTTTTTTTTCTTTTCAAAAAAAGGGGCGGGAACAAAATGGTTTCTGAAGGGGAAAAAAAATTGGAACCAAATATATATTAAAAATAAATATTATTACAGCACAAGGAAGGCAGGGAAGGGGAGCTGAAGCTTAAAGGGGGGGAAAGGAATTAAGATATAAAAAATATACATTCTAAAGCAAAGAAGAAGGGAAAAGGAGAGAGAAAAATGGGAAATTGGGGAAAAAATAAGTTTGGGTGGCTGGGAAATTAAAATTATTTTAATTTAAATTTATTTTAGGGAAGGGCAATAGGTCACGAGGCAAACTGGGTTTGGAGTTAAAAAAAAATAAAGCTACGAGGAAGGAAAATGGGGAAATATCTCAAGGAAAATGGGAAAAAAAGAAGGAAAAAAAACCCAAGACATTTATGAGAAAAAGTTGGAGAAAAGACTGAAGAATAGAAGAAGCAGGAGCTTGAAAGGAGGCGGTGAGGACAAAAAAAGGAATTTTAAAGAGAAAAAATGGCTTCAGGAGAGGATGGAGAAGAGGAATCGCTAAAAAAAGAAAATGTCGGCAAATGTGGGATTTATTTAGAAATGAAGGAGAAATAGATGGGAAAGTGGCTGGAAAAAATGCTTGAAAGTGCAATTCAGAGGCAAATAAAAGAAGAAAAATAAGCTAAAGGGAGAAAAACAGTTGGAAATGTAAAACTGGAGGAAAAAAGGGATGTTTGCACCAAAAACAAGCCAGGATCAAAACAAACCATGGTCTTCCTCAAGAGAAGCCCTAAGAAATGCCAAATCAAGCCCTCCCAACAAAACTCATCTCTGATTTTCGTTCAGAAGTTAGTAGAATTTAGTATTAGAATTTAGTCAAATTTCCAACAGAAATTAGTCAATTTCAACTTCATTAGTCAATTTCACTACACCCTGGGAAATCTGTTTCAATTTCTAATCACTTTCAGGCTTGCTTTGATTATTCTGGTTAGTTTTGCTCTGGGGGGGAAAATAAAGTTTTTGCTGGTTTTTTTTTGCCAATTTCAAGCAGGTCTACTCGAGGGTAAAATAAGCTTTTGTTAATATCAACCCGTCTTCACATTTCAAGGGACTTCTTTGAGGGTTTCCAGTGGTTTTCTTAAAAGAATTTGAAAGCATTTCCTTTCTTTAAAATAAGTAATGGCCCTTCTTGAGCTATTTCTGTTTCGAAATCTGGGTTTTAGACAAGAAATTTGCATTTTTCAGGTTGCATCCTATGTAGGTTTACTCAGAAGTCAGCTCCACTGGGTTTAAAGAATGCTACTCTTTTTAAAGCTCAAGCTTGGAAAGAAATCTTTTTTTATTTTTTAGGACATGAAAACGGTTTGATGTTGAAAAAGGCAGGGCATGTAGTCACAAAACAACCTATCCTTGATCTAATTGGAGACAATTCTCTCCATGTGCCTAAATTGCATTTTCCAATCTGTTCTTGTTTAAAAAATGCACTGTTGCATTCTTCCCAAATAAATGCGTATAGATCATTTCAAAAAGACATATGCAGCGGTTTAAATCTACCATAAAGCCTACTTGAAGAAAAAAAGCATAAAAGTTTATTGTATGCAAGGATCGAGGAAAGACACTTCATTGTATCTGTACATTCATTTACAAGACCGAAAAGAACCATGTCAATTATTTACATATGAGATCTGAATACATATGTATGTATATATATATATATATATTTATAGGTACATATACACCCCACATGGATTTTTTTTAATTTACAAAACCACCCTCATTCCCTGCATCAAAATGGAGGGAAGCAAAAGAAAAAGAGACTTTTAAGAAAATAAAGGAATGTTGCTTGGCGTCAATGGAAGGACTGAGATTGGGACATGGAGGTCCCTGGAAAGAAAGATGGCAGTGGCCTAACTTTACCTGATTTTTTATTTATAATTACATTTATTTACTATCCAACCTCTCATGTGGCTACTCTGGAAGGCTTACAGTTGATGGATTAAGTTGGGTGTAGATTGAATGTTAGTGATGATCAGAGATGCCCATGAAAATAGAAAAGCTAAATTTGGGGGCTGCCTTACTGTCGGTGGGTGTGCCTTGTCACCCAGGTCCTTCTGAGGTTGGGGCAAACTATGATCAGCCCCCAAAGCTGGTGGAAACCGCTCTTCTCCAATTCATGGTGATGGAAAAGAACAGGGGAACCTCAAAGTAATAGAAGGAGCTTAGAGAAGATTCCTGCACTCTTGGTTTCAAAGCCCACTGTGAGGCACCAAACCCGGGCCTGAAATTGGCTATGAATCGGTACTGAATTTAAACTCGGAGGTTTTGCCTCTCTCATGAGCCACACTGCAGCTTTTCAACACGAATCTGCATGGCTGAGATCTAACATGCTTGGCCAGTGCATTCTCTTCCACGGTTTGCCTGGAGGAACTCGGTCGTTGTCAAGTTTTGCAGGAACAAAGTCAACCCAGTGATTGTCAGTATTTCATGCTGGAAAGGCCTTTTTGGGGAGAGTCCCAGTTGCATCCCTTTCGGTCCAACGCTACCACCTTAGCATCGCTCGAGACCCACTGCTGCCAGAAACCAAGTTGCAGGCGCATTCGTTGCAATCTTGCGCCGGTTGTTGTCCAGCTACAACTCGCTCGAACGCACTGCTGGCTCCAATTTGTGGGACAGGGCGGTGAGGACCTTGTGGAACTTCTCGTAGCGCTCGCTCTGGCTGCTTTCGGCCCCCCGGCTCCCCCATAAAAGCCGGAGCTGAAATTCGGTGCTAAAAACCTCCAGAAGTTCCGGTTGTGGCTGGAACCCTACGGGGGGACAAGAATGGAAATAAAATCCTGCCCAGCTGGACAAATTTACATTTTTAGATTCTTTGTTGTTAATAGAGCTTAGGCCACTAGTTAAGCTGATCGGTTGTGTGCCCTCAACACCCTGACACAACGGCCACTGCTGAGGTCACATCCTAGCCATTAATTAGAGTTTACACGCCACAACTGGGTCACGACCAAACAGTTTTGTAGTTTCAGGCGTGGGGAAACGGCACCAAACTCTTAGGAAAGGATTTGCAATTTCCACAGAGCGCCCTTCTATCCGAATCCTGATAAACAAATGCCCTCTAGCGGTTAACAAGCATCTCTTCTAAACATTTCTTTCCTTTTCAAACTTTTTACAAATCTCTTTCCTACTGCAAGCATCTCTGCTTTACTTGCTTCTCTGGAGGTCCGGCCCCAGCCATACCCTCTTATTTCTTGGATGACCTTTTTAGTCTGCGGTACAAAATCAAAGCTATTAAACTTGTTTGCTACCCAGCTTGCCATAAGATGCCTTTGGGACATAAATATCTAACATCACATTAAAGTTAGGGATGGTGAAATCCCACCAAAAGGATTAAAAGTTTGAGACGTTTTCTTACAGCCCTGAAAGCCAAATCCTTCCCACGTCTATCTTGCAATGCTTTCTCTTTCTATTAAAAAAAACCCATTTTGCTCATTTTTGCTTCTTCTCTAACAATAAGCAGGCTTTGTGTTCTCTCTAGCTGCTTGAAAGTGCCCAGCTACCTTCTTCTTTTTCTCCTTCCACCATCCCTGCCCTGTTCCTTTGTGGCCCACAGACTTAATTCTCACACCTCTTGAGGTGGGCTTCAGCCCGTATCACTTACCTTGCAGCTTCACCTCCGCATTGGTGTGGTACAGTCCCCCGTGGTGGGCCACCGTGCGTGCCGCCTCCAGATGGGCCATAACTACCTCCACACTGTTGTCCAAGTTCTCCCAGGGTTCAGGGTGGTCCGGCAGTGCCGTGTCCCTCTCCAGAAGAGTAATGAGAGGCACGATGTGAGGGAAGGTGGTGTTAGATAAAGGTGGTCCTTCTGGTGGAAGGAGAAAGAGATGGGGTTATTCAAGCAAAGTAACTGCTCTTCAGGGTCAGCTTCCCCTTGGAGGGCTTCTGCTTCTCAAAATTTTAGAGGGTCTTTCTGGATAAAAGAATGTTGGGGTGCAGTATGCTAGCTTCCCTTGGATTGTCTCCTCGGGCATCATTTGTAATACTGGCTTGGGGGCAACATTAGAAGAAGGATTTGTGGAGGATGCACATTCTTTTGCCTTTATTTATTAAATTTTTATGCCATCCATCTTCCCTATAAGGGGACTCCGGGCGCCTTACAAAGCAAGTAGAAACGTAATTAAAATATTGAAACGACGCTCAGATTTTAAAACTATACAGAAACCAGAACTGAGATGGACAGGATGGGGATAACTTCTTCTTAATATTTCTACTTACTTATTGATCTAACTGGCTACAAATTCTCCTCTTCAGATACAAATGTTTCTTTTTTTCTACATTGTCCCCATTCCAATTTTTCCCCAAAATTTATAAATTAAGGGCTACGTTAGTGACTGCTAAAGCCACTGGTTACTAGACAAGGAAAGGCGGATTCAGATCATTTCATTTCAACCGACCAAGCTCTGGAAGGCACCTCAGCTCCCATTTCTACCCTACCTTCTCTCAGCTGTCCTTATTTTATGGAAAAGCTCTGATCGAGAAGGCCCTTTGCACAAAAAATAGGAATGCACCCGCAATTGTGGGTGTGCACAATTAAAAGGCACAGGGAGGGAATTTGCAAACAAATTCTTTGAACACCTTAAAAAACGGAGTGTGCTCGTCAAGCTTGTGTGCAAAAAATCAGTATATGAAAAGCTGCCCGGCTCACCTTTTCCTTCGTTGAGGCTCTTGAGGAAAGGCTTCAGCTTCTTCTCGTAAAGAATGGCACCCTCCGTGTAACGCTGGCGTAAAACCATCCAGGTTTGCTCCAGGCGGGAGATCTGAAGGGCAATAGAATAAGGGGAAATAAGAATCTGGAGTGTCGCTTAAGTAACGACTAGGCTGAGTTTCTCTAAGGCTTCAAGATGTCCAGGGATTTTTGCTATCTTTTGAAGCTTTCCTGGAAGATACCTGGGTCATCTCCAGCGCGTTCATCACAGCGGCAAAGCTGTACATGTTGCCCATGGTCTTCAGCTCGGCCGCCAGCTGAATGGTCTTGTGGAGCAGAGAGGCCCGCTCCTCAATGCTGCCTGTGCACCCCAGAATATCCACCGCGATCATGATGGTCATGGTGTGGAACCTAAGATGTAACGGGAAGAAGTTGCCATCAGAGGTCTTGTTAACAGCCTTGGCTGGGTTCCGTGCGACGAGATGCTTTCGAGCGCTTTGAGTACTGAGGACTAGAAACTTGCAAGCAAGCTCCGTTGAAATTGCCAAAGTCTGTGTCTTAAGAAGTGGCAAAAAAAAAAAAAAACCTTTGGAGATCTATTCCCCCCCCCTTTCCCATCACTTTCTCGCCTCTTTTGCTTTGTCACGCTCTGCACTCTTACCTTTCCAACAAATCCAGCCGAAGTTGATGTCCGTGGGGCAGGGTGAGCAGCTCCATCCCTGAGCTGACTCCCATGAGCCTCTGGGTCTCCTTGGTAACCCCCAGTATCCTAGCAACCTGCAACAAAGGGGACAAAGTGGTTTAATCTCCCCGGTCCTTGGATGGAGAGGGGAATCTCCGCAAAGAATGGTGGAAAACGGGAAACCTAATGATTGCAATAAATTTGCTTTCCTATCTCGCCTTTCCATGCTTTCATACTCCCAGGCCTATAGCAAGAAGAAAAATTGCTTCAGCAAAAAAAAAAAAAAAAGAAAGGGGGGGGGAAGCAAAGTTTCTTCTGCAAGGCATGCTTTGTTCTGTTGACTCTATGCATTTTTTTAGGATTCCCCAACATAACTGCACTGATCCTTCTGAAGTTTATTGCCTCCTTCTCCTGCCCTGTGTGATAAAAATAAACCTGCAGGTCATAAATTGTGGATTAAGACGGCTTAAAAAAAATAAATTACTCCTTCTTTTTCTCCTTGCAATCTCGGCAGTGACACCCCCCCCCCCTATTTGGGATGTCTTTCTCCAACAAGAAACCCGTTTATACCTCTCTCCAGTCGTACACAGCTCTGAATGACTCATGTTCTCGATTCAGTTAAAACCATGGCCTCACCCTGTAACCTTTGAAGGACAGATCACATGACGTCACTAAGTGAAATAATGACATCACTAGTGCTGCAAAATCACAAGGGAAGGGGAGACCCCAAGAGACAGTAAGAATCAGTCAGATGAACCTTTCTCCAACCCGATGATGCCCTTCGTATCTCTTGGAGATGCTGTTATGTTTCTTAGCTGATAGCAAGAAGATTGGAAAAGGGTGTTTAAATTGGCTTTATTGCAGATTTTTTTTTTTTATGCTGCCTGATTCAGGAGCCTTGCATGGAGAAACCACCACAATCAACAAAATCTGTATTCAAATCTAAAAAGAGAACCATCTCCAAATGCTAGCGTCCAGTATTAAAACGTCTTCCTGCCAAATGCTCTTCAAAAGAAAAAAAAAATACACCTGTTTTTCTAAAGAAAAATGAGGTAGGGATGAAATTGCTTTTGGGGGCACAATGGGGAGGGAGACCCTACAATAAATGTCATTTCCCCCCCCCCAATTTTCTGGAAGATGATTTATCTGGAGCAATCTATGCTGGGCAGATAGAGAAGCTGAGCCAGATCTGACCGCAAAAGACCATCCTAAATTATCTTTCTCTGTTTGTCACCAGTTGGGTTGAAAGAAAATAATCCAAAGACACCTGGCTGTGGGAGGATTAGAACTCCCAGCCTTGCAGTTTTTAACTGAGGCCTTAACCTCTACAGCCTCCCTTCTTTATTTCGATCTTACTGTCCAAGCACATGGATCACCACTAGCCTTGATTAAAGAAAACAGGGGGCAGAAAACACCACCATCCTAAAAAAACAAACAAACACTGATTCATTTCCCAGAAACCTGTGTTTGAATGAAAGATAACGCTTGGGAGAAGGCTGAGCAAGGCCTACAGAGAGGTGGCTCCAAACCAGATCAAAAAAGACTTTTTTAAAAAATGATAGCAAACTATTTCTTCTCTTGCCTAGATTTGCCCTCTTCTTCCTTGCTGGGATCATGCAATCCCTTCTCTCTAGCAATCGTGTGGATTTTCCGCCTGACGCCTTTCCGGGGGGGCGGGGGGGGCTGAGTTGGACTTTTCTGCTGCTGTGCAGGTTGCGTCGTCTCTCCGCTGTGGATTGCCTGACACAGTTATTGGCTCTGAGAAGGATCAGACCAGAGCATTCCCTTTCCTACCAAGCCTTCCCACTGTGCCCTTCCCCGTACCAGGCAATCCACGTGGGTGATATGCTTAGCGAGAGTCCTGGCGTCTCCTTCGGCAAGCAGTTCCTTGATCTTCTTCAGCACCATCATTTCCAGAGGTTTATTTTCCCCCGGAATAAGCAAGGAGTGGAACAGCGCGGGATTGAACGAGGATGTCCTTTCCATCACCGGGACCACAAAGCCTATCATGTCCTGCTCCGGCCTCTTCCTGGGGCCAGCTTCTCCTTCGGAACCGTTCAGGACAAACCCTCGCTGGCATTCGTCCCCTTTTAGCCTCTCCACGTAACTCTTGGTTGGCATCACTTTGTTGTCGGGCATTGGCCTGTCCCACTGGACCGGAGAGGGCGGGTGAAGCTGGCAATAATGTCCTGAATCTGGGTCGCTGTAGCTGCTGGCAGAAGGAGAAGGGGACGCCCTGGAGCATCCCTGGGAAGGGGTCGAGTGGGTGCTGTCCGACAGCTCGCTTTTACTGCCGTTCCCTTGGCATAGCTGCGGCTCGCTAGAGCGTCGGATGACCGGGGATGACGGGGTGGCACCATTGCCAGCTTGGCTCCCTTGTGGTTTGAGACGAGTAACTGCAAAAAAAAAAAAAAAGAAGAAAGAAGAAAAACCTGCTTTTAACCAAGATTGCATATTTGCAGGGCCTGAAGATGCAGGAATAGCTCAGCACAACATTATGCAACGTCCCTGAAAGGCGTGCATGCATGTGAAATTGAAATGCACATTTTGCACCGAAGGGACGTTGTGCCCGTGATGTGAGTTAAAGTGGTGTTGCTACTAGTTGAATGAACTTAGTAGTTCTGAGAATTAGGACTCTTCAAATAGACGTATGGGGGAATCGGTTTAACTAGTAAAGTTATGAATGTTATATCTTCGTAAGCACAGATCCAAATGTTTCAGCTTCAGCTTAAAGCTACAAAACTGGAGCCTTCTGCATTCAAGTCATAATTTTTAAGATAATCGCATTTGCTGCATGGTTTCTGCTTTTTTAAAGAATATCCAATTGGAAGGGTTGTCTGGTCTAAGTGCCTTTTAAATTTAAAGTCTCCGAAGAACAGAAGTCACTCTTAGACAATTACAATTTTATTTCATCACCACCCTCTTCTCCCTTATGTGAAATACTCTGCCTGCGACTTTAAAACAAGAGGCTTATCTGGGTCAGTGAAAACCTGGCGGCTGCATTCTCACAAGCTTAAAAAAAAACTGAACTTCAGCTAGAATCTTTGTGGTTCAGCATCCTGCACGCACCCAGCTGACCGGTGTGTTTGTGGTCAGACGGACCACTTTCTGCACAGTGGAGTAATGGGAGGAAAATAACAAGATGGGTGTTGCAACATCGCAGGCCCCAAAATTCTTTCCTGCACGATCACAACACAAGCACGCAAGGGTTGAAGTTGTGTCACGCTGTCCACAACATGCACTTTGCCATTTTGGGGTCATTGTAATTAGAGGCCGGTTCCTCTTGGACGCGTGATACAAACCCCAGAAAATGGGTTAGCTGAAAGGTATGATGCAGTCACAGCTATTGTGTTTTTGAGACACAATGTTGTGTTTTGTGTTCTGAATCTTTTATACATGTTAAACACTCTTTTGCCCCCTTCAGACAATGCTCTGCCTACCAGTGCTGTAAGCTGGAGTGGCTGGGGTTTCGGCGATGGGTGACATTGGGGAGTGGAGGTCTTGGATCTGGTCCACACTGACAGCGCAGTTCCGAATGATGTCCCGGTGATGCGGCAAGGAGACACTAAGAGAGGAAGAGATTAAAATGGGTGAAAATCCCCCTCCCAAGAACTGAGCAGAGTTCTAGCATGGGGGCCACTGAATGAAGCCCAGCTTGAGGGGCTGCTTTGAAAAAAGAAACGGCACAGAAACCCAGAAATTGTATTTCCTCGACAAGCGGAAACTCCGATCTGGTTGAATTAACAAAGCCGTCTTTCTCCAGCTTTATTCCTCCGTTGGGGCTGGAGTAAACCCCATTGCAAAACTGAGGATTCGCCCCACAATCCCCCCTTCTGGGATGTGGGCAGGAACCTCCCTACTCCAAGATGGGTGTTTTATCCGAGACTTTTTTTTTTTACCTGGTGGGACACCCGTCGCTCCTGGTGATCTTGTCCGCGGTCAGTCCGTCCGTCATGGTGATGCTTCTCCTTTTGATGTGCCCCCCTTTCTGCCCAGGGTGGCTATGGGAGCTGCTGTGCTTCCCATTGGCCAGTCCGTAGCTGGCCTCCAGGTAGCGCAGCGGGAATGTGCGGTTGATGGGGCAGTAGAAGATGGCATTGCTCTGTTCCGAGATGGGCTTCCGGTTGCCCACGTAGAAGCGCACCAAGGCCGGGACGTTGTCGAAACTCTCCTGCTCGAAGAGGTACTGGATGTGGGTGCGCCCTTCGCCGGATTTCACCATCACCTTGTTGATCTTGAAGTGGAGGGCTTCGTTCCGCCAGCGGCACGTCAGCACGTAATCGCCCAGGCTGGTGAGCGAGTCGCGGATCAAAAAATCCCCGTTCCTCTGCACCAGGCTTTCCGACACCTGGGGAAAAAAATTATAAATAAAGAATAAATAAATCCAGAATGGGGATGAAGAGGTGTGTGCCCTGCTTGGGAAAACTGCCCTACTTCCTCAGGCTTTGGTGAGCTGAGTCCAAACTCGATTAATAACATAAATACAAAATTCAATGAGTAACTTAAAAAAAATATCCCGTGTTAGGCGCTGTTTAGTCTTCTGAGTGCCAGGGCATGGGTGCAAAGATTGCAGCAGTGCCTCTCAGCATCTGCAGAGAACATAAGCCTGGCCCTACACTGGAGATGAAGCATTTGACACGTTGCTTCGGTTTTAGAAGCGTTTAAGAGTGGTTGTCCCTGAGTATCTGCTTCTGATGTTGAGGTGCACCCTTGGTTACCCCAATAATATAGAACGTTCCTCTTGGGCCCCATTCAGAAGCCAGCAGTAACCTCATCTCCAAAGAGATTAGTAAGACAGTGATGCAGTCTTATTTACATCTACACCGTCAGCCTCCTTATCTTGAGAAAGCGTCAACTACATGTTCCTCCATTCCCCCACCCAGGCTGAGGGACACCAGCACCTCCCAGCTGATCCCCCTCCCTTCTCTTGATCAACCCAACTTCCGATCCCGTGTTGGCCAGAGGTGGCCTCGTCCCAAAGGTCTCACCTCTCGAGGGATGCGGCCATGATACCAGGTGTGACTCCTCAGGTCTGAGCTGCTGAGTTTCAGCTCCTCTTCCAACTCCTTGTGAAGCTTCTCCGGCGAGGAGTCGAGGATGTACTTCTCCTTGGAGAACTGCCGAGGGGAAGAAGGAAAGGAACTTTTAAGCCAGCCACCAACCACCCCAAATAAAAGGTAGAGCTTTTGAAGAGAGCCCCCCGTCCTCCGAAGAGATACTTGCGGCACCTCAGAACAGAAGCCTTTGAAGAAAAAAGTGATTTTTTTTAAAACTAAAAAAGGAACAAGAACAGGACTGACGGATTGATTCCTCAAAGTTAGCTTGATCGGACAGTCCACTCACGTTTGAAAGGCAAACTGGAGTAGTGAGTAACTTGGTTTGTCTCGGGACCGCCACGCAATCTAACTTCGCCGCTGCAAACCATGTTGTTTTTTTTTTGTTGTTGTTTTTACTTTGGAGGCAGAAAGCCACGCTGGGCCCAGCTCTTTCGCGACGCATTTAAGCAAAGGCCGCACAAACGCAAAACCAATGGCGGACCGACACGGCCGCTTTTCCCAGCCACTTTGGTTCAGCACGGAACGGGGCAATGCCTGAATCGCGCCCACATGGTTGCCGCGTTCCTGCCAACTGGGAAGGCAGCCAAAAGGAAACAGGCCTGTCGGCGAACATGAGTTGTTGAAGTGGTTTCGAGGGCGGCGAGTGGCCAGTTGGCAGCAGACGCCTCGGCTGCGAGATCTGCTCAATTGTCCCCGGCCTGGCTGGTGCGCATTTGGAGCCAGTGGCTGCAGCCAAAGCCAGAACTGAGTCTTCTCTGGAGGCTTGTCTCCGTCGTAACCCCTCACCCTCCTGCAGGATGCAGTCATCCTTCTGCTTCTCCAAGCACAGAGCTGGTTATTTGGGGAGACACTGATGTGATTTCAGCCGATGGAGGATAGCCATTGTTTTTGCCAGCGGGCAAACACAGCAGGGCCACCATATACTCTCCACCCTGCTTGACCAATTATTGCAGCAGCTGCTTCCCTGCCCTGTTCTCCTGAGCACGGAGGGCTTAGGGCAGACCCTCTCAGTATAGTAGAAAGCAAGAATCTGCACATATCTCAGGAGCGCTCTTGACTGATGGCCCACCTTGATAGTGGAGTTAAGGTTCATTTCTGCCTTGCTCCTCCTAAAACATTTACCCACCATTCTGTGCTCTTTAATGGCATCAACCTCTTTTTTAAAAAATCTCCTTTTCAGCTGCTACAGTAGCTGGGGGGGGGGTGTCTTTTTTAAACGTCCTCTTTGGTTTTAGCTTTTCTGAGTTGTAGGGTTTTTTTTTAAATGTTATTGCAGTTGAATTTTGCTGGCAATCATATCATTGTTTACGGTGCATGGATTTAGAGATGGGTGCCACCCGACGTTGTAGCAACGTTGTAATAAGCTGAACTAATCTTTGGCTCGAAGGAGAGGTCCTCAAACCCTAAACCCACAACCTCAGAAGACCACTTAGAAGGAGGAACATTTCTACAACAGCAATAATAATTCAACAGCATGACTTCCACCTCGTTTAAAAGAGGGGGGGGGAATTGGCAGGGGATGACAGCATCACTCGAAGCAAAGAAAGAATTTTAATCGCTTGCCACCCAGCTCCGCTTTCTCTCCCCTTTGGAGACAAAAACGGTTTCCTGGCTCACAATCTTCCTAACAACCCGACAACTCGGCCAACAAAGCTGAAACAAACTGGGCAGACTTCTTGCATGCCCACAGAATGAATCCCAACCTGTTTGCCAACCATTGCGCACCGGCATGCGCGTGCAAACGCCTACTTCGTAGGCATGAGGATACATTTACAAAGACGTGGAAAATTAACATGATCCCAACGGCGTGATGGGAAGGCAGACACTGCCTGAGTCCCTTCCGAGTCTGGGTGCTCTGATTACCTAGTCAATTGAGTGCATTCAGCTGAAAAAAAAAACCCCATGAAAATGAGTCTCGCAGCCAAGAGACAGAGAGAGAGAGAGAGAGAGAGAGAGAGAACGCTGAGCACATGCAAAATTCTTCCCCTTCTATTTTTTTTCTACTGCTCCGATTGCCGTGGTGAAATATTAAGATGCTGGACCAGACTCTGCACAAGCCAATTTTAAACTGGCCCCAGACTCTGGAAGACTTTGGAGCAATTACTGTCAACTGTCCAAGCTACTTGGCAGACCCTACACCCATTCCTAAATGCTGCGGATGAAAATGCATGCATTGTGACGTTTGCGATACAAGTTCAATCAATCAGAAAAGAGCTGGAAGGGACCTTGGAGGTCTTCTAGTCCAACCCCCTGCTCAGGCCTGAAGCCCTATACCATTTCAGACAAAGGGTTGTCGAGTCTCCTCTTGAAGACCCACAATTTCTGGAGGCAGGTCGTTCCACTGATTAATTCTTCTCACTGTCGGGAAGTTTCTCCTTAGTTCTTGGCTGCTTCTCTCCTTGATGAGTTTCCATCCGTTGCTTCTTGTCCTGCCTTCAGGTGCCTTAGAGAATAGGTTGACGCCCTCTTCTTTGTGGCAGCCCCTCAGATATTGGAACACTGCTATCATGGCACCCCTTCTCTTCATTAAACTAGACATACCCAATTCCTGATATGTTTTAGCCTCCAATCCCTTAATCATCTTTGTTGTTCTTCTCTGTACTCTTTCCAGAGTCTCAACATCTTTTTTTATATTGTGGCGACCAAAACTGGATGCAGTATTCCAAGTGCGGCCTTACCAAGGCACGTATAAAGCAGTACTAACACTTCATATGATAATAACGCTGCTGCTTTCGTATTCGGGGTGCCAATATGCAAAGGAGAGATTTCATCAAGGGGTCTGTGCTATTGCTGCCCCTGTGGGGAGTGGTTATGGGGGAAAACGGGAGGAGGAAATGTCAGATCTGCTTTCTTTGGGAGTGGTGGAGGAAAAGCTTTAACAAACCGGCTCTCTTCCGCAAAGGGTTAATCCCCTCTGTGGGCGAAGCCTGCTGGGGTAATGAATAATAATGACAGATTTAGATAGGGAACCTTCTGCATAAAGATGAGTTTTGCCTTCCTGGCCAACACCTGAGCCTTAAGCATACAATCCCACCCTCTCCATTTCTCCCCAGCCTCTCCAGGGGAAAGGGGGAGGCAATGATGTCATGTCTCGGCTCCATGGGGCCCAACTGCCTTTGACCCAGGCCAAAAGAGGGAGAAGGAGGAGGAGGAGAAGGAGGAGAAGAAGAAGAAGAAGAAGAAGGAAGAAAGAAGGAAGAAGAAAGAAGAAAGAAGAAAGAAGAAGAAGAAGGAAGAAAGAAGGAAGAAGGAAGAAAGAAGAAAGAAGAAAGAAGAAAGAAGAAAGAAGAAGAAGAAGAAGAAGAAGAAGAAGAAGAAGAAGAAGAAGAAGAAGAAGAAGAAGAAGAAGAAGAAGAAGAAGAAGAAGAAGAAGAAGAAGAAGAATGGGGCACAAGGGCCAGGGGGTCAAATTCCCTTTGATTAAATGGCTCCAAAGGAAGTTCAGTTAGAGAAACAGGCTTGCTTTTTCATGAGAGTTGGATTCCACCCGATGGGCTTTCTCCATCCCTTCCCTTTTGCTCTAAATGCTGCATCCGTTCCCCAGCTTCCCATTGGCTGCCAATGATGTAATGCTTTCAAAGACCGGCTGCGCTGCCATTGGTGGGGAAGAGGCAGAGATGCTGCTGTCAGCTGAAACACAAACACACAGACACACATACCCCAAGTCATTCACGCAGAGTTCATCAAGGCAGGCAACCAGACCCATTGACATATGCAAAGAGGCCTCTACCCCAAAGAACAGGTGGGGGAGGCTAGGTGTTGTGGGGGAGACAGGGCCGGGGAAATGGATCCCAGCGGTGTTACTCCGGAGAGGCGTGATGTCTGCAAGGATCTAGTTTGGGAAAAGCTCCAGCAAATCTATTAGTCGTCCACATCGCCCCATGATTGTGGGCACAGAGCAGGATCAAAGCTGATCCAACAGGACCAGATGTTAAAACGGGGCCCTGTCCTGCCATTATGGGGGGGGCGCTCTGGAACCCCAGTCTTTGACTGCAGAGAGGGAGACAAGAGGATGCCAAAAAAAAAAAAAAAGACATGCTCAAATCGGAGCTGTACAGTTAGTTCTCGACTTAGAATGATTCATTAAATGAATCATGTTATGACACTGATAAAAGTGACTTGCAGCATGTCACTTACGCCCATCCCAGCATCCCCACAGCTACATGATCAAAATTTGAGGCACTTGGCAACTGGTATGTATTTATGACAGTTGCAGGGGTCCCAGGGTGTGACCTTCCCAGCTGGATTCCGACAAGCCAGGTTGGAAAGTGGCTGTTCAAGAATGAAAAGAAAAAAAAAATGGCCAAAAATCCAGTTTTAAACGTGCTAAATGGTGAACCACCTGGCTTCAGAAAGCTCTTAAGAAGGACACCGAAAGTCGGAATAAAATTCTTTCCAGGCAAATCGGCATCTGAATTGCCCGATCAATAGATGGAAGGAATCAAGTGGGTTCCAAGATGGAATCTGGAAAGACTTCAAGGGCAGCGGACGTTTAGATGTGGAGAAGATGGATATTGTCTGTTTTCTGAGTTGACATACGTGGGACTGCTACAAGATTCCCAGAAATGCCAAGAAACAGGCTAAATCAGAACCCAGAATCCTTCACCCTGGCGGGATAAATCCCTGCGTAAAGAGAAGTCAAACCTATCATGTGTTTCTCTAACACCAAAGATGGAGCCTCCGCCTAACGTTTTGAGTCCCTGAGATTGTACCTGTAAATAAAACATATACCAAATTTGTGGGTCCTCAAAACCAACCTCTCTTGTTGAATTCTAAGCCAAGAAGCAAAAAACAAAATAGCAAAATAATTAAAATATTGTAGGTGGTGGCCCAGTTCTGCTAGTCTGCCTTTTCCACCAACGTCAGCAAAATAACATTTCAGCCGAGATTTGATTTATCTCTTCCCCGTCACTCTTAACCGATCTTCATCTGTTCTTTCTTTAACAACATTTAGACCTGGTTAATACTTCAAGGGAAGATGGACAAAAAAAATAAATAAACCCCAAACCTTAGAACTGGGGGGGGACTTAGAAAAGGTTTTTCATACTCATTTCTAAGGA